CGCTTATACGCTTGATCTGATCGCGCCTCCGAAATTAACTTCGGAGATAACTCAGTTGCCTACGCTAGAACCTAAAAGGTTCTTGCGTGATCTGCGTAGTGGCAAAGTCAAGCAGATCTGTGTGCTCGTCGCAGAAGACGAGTACATGACTGACATTCGGTCAGCAACAGTTTTTGCCGAGAACGAACGGGTTCTCAGCAGCTCATCAATGGACGAAAGCGTCCTTGATAAGACGACTCGGATTGAACGATATACATCGCAATCCTGGGAGTCGCTGAAGTCAAATCCTTTGTACAAGGATTTGGTCGAATTCAAGGATGTATTCCCTGAATCCGTTCCGTGCGAGTTGCCTAAGGATAAAGGCACTCGACACGAGATCGACCTTGTTCCTGGCACAAAATATTGTGTCATGAAGCAGTGGCCACTGCCTCGGGAACAGGTCGAGGCGATCGACAAGTTCTTTGCCGATCGCCTAGCAGCGGGCCATGTGAGGGAGTCAACTTCACCTCACAGCTCTCCGACCTTCTGTGTGCGCAAGGCCACAGGAGGGTGGCGGATAGTGCACGCGTTCAATAAGTTGAACGCTGCAACGATACCGGCGCAAACGCCAATATCGAGAAAGGACGTAATCATAGATGGTATGTCTAAGAGTACCATCTTTTCGTCCATGGATCTGATGGATGGTTTCTATCAGATCCTAATGCGTGAACGGGACATCCCGTACACAGCAGTGAGCACTCCCAGTGGTATGCTCTGGGAATGGTTGGTGATGCCGCAAGGGCTCAGTAATGCACCAGCCACATTCAATAGATGTGTTTCACATCTATTGAGACCGGTGCGCGAATTCGCACCGAGTTACTTCGATGATGTGTTCGTCCATAGTCAAGCTATGGACGGGAAAACAGACGTGGAAGTCCATAGACTTCACGTCCGTACTTATGCGCGAGCATAAGTTGTACGCCAACCTCAAGAAGTGCATATTCGAAGCTAGCGAAATACCACTTCTTGGGTGCATCGTCAGAAAGAACGGCGTACGCTCTGATCCAGAGAAGATCAAGGCGATAACCGACTGGCCAGTGCCAGTCGATGTCAAGGGACTAAGGAAGTTCCTTGGGCTAGCGGCGTACTTGCACAAGTACTCGCGCAATTACGCGGAAATGACAGTACATCTTTCTTGTTTACTCAAGAAAAATTTAAAGTGGAACTGGAACGCTGATTGTCAGCGTTCCTTTGAACGTATCAAGCAAAGCTTGATGCAATCGCCAGTGTTGGCGATTGCCGATCAAGACAGACAATTTCATGTGGTCTGTGACGCCAGTGATTTTGCAATCGGCTGCGCACTGATGCAATATGATACAGACGGCGCAGAGCGTGTCGTCTGTTATCAATCGCGTCAGCTGCAACCGGCCGAGCGCAATTACCCGGTGCAGGACAAGGAACTCCTTACCATAAAGTATGCACTGGCTAATTTTCGCGGGTATCTCTTAGGAAATAGACCGTTCATTGTATATACAGACCATGCGTCACTACGAAAGGCGGTAAACAGTTCACACCTCTCGCAACAAATGGCGAGATGGTTGTCGTTCTTCGCGGAGTACAACTTCTCCGTGGAGTATAAGCCGGGACGACTTAACGTCGTCGCCGATGCTCTTTCACGTCGGCCTGACCTAGAGCCGACTGTGCAATCCGACAGTGATGTAAACACCACTGTCGCCACGCTGAGTAACAGCGTCTTGTCGTCGAGCTTACTCGACGACATTAGAAGGGCATGCGCACAAAATAATGATCTTGTACGCCTGATGGATTATCTCACGGACCCATCCATGCAAGCTAAGAAGCGCTTGCCTGCCATGTATCGATCTTCTCTCGATCGATACACCCAGCGGAACGGCTTACTGTACTACACAGCCGTCAACAACGACACGCCTCGTGTCGTTGTACCGCCACAACATGATCTCAGGTTACGGATCATGTTTGAATGTCACGATGCACCAATAAGTGGGCATCGCGGCCGTGAGAAGACTTACCTCACGGTCAGTCTCGACTTTTACTGGCCACGCCAGTATAAGTTTGTGCGCAAGTACGTGCGTGCTTGAGAGGTGTGTCAACGAGTGAAGCCTAGGCCTTCACTCCGTGCACCATTGCAGCCTCAACCCGTTCCGGCAGAGTGCTTGGAAGCCTGTATCAATGGACTTCGTCTTTGGGTTTCCCAAAGACGCTCACGGGAATAATGGTATTCTCGTGTTTTAGACAGGTTCAGCAAGATGGTACATCTTGTTGCTGTACCTGAGTCGATCACAGCAGAGGGCTGTGCTCGAGTGTTTATCGATACAATCTTTCGATTGCACGGTTTACCCCGTGAACTTGTGTCCGATAGAAACCCCCGGTTCACGGCTGAGTTTTGGTGTTCCGTGTTCCAAACACTTGGAACACGGCTCACAATGTCTACTTCTGACCATCCAGGAACTGATGGTCAGACTGAACGCGCCAATCGCGTCCTCGAAGAGATTCTTCGAGGTTACGTCCACTCGTTTACGAGTTGGAGTGAGTTCTTGTCAATGGTCGAATTTGCCATCAACAACTCCGTGCATGCCTCCACGACGCATACACCGTTCTACGTATATGGCCTTCGCCACCCACGTGTTCCCACCTTAGTAGAGGGTGACTCTAATTCAATGGGGGAGGGACTCGCTCGAGCGAGAACCAATCTGGCTCTTGCTCATCACGCGACGACGTTATGGTAGACGCGAAAGTTACCGAAGTCGTACCATTCGACTTTGGTGAAGAGGAAAAAAGTAAGAGCGATGACGCTCTTACTGATAACGATGCTGAAGATGTCAGCATCGTTCGAGGTATCACAAGTGAGAACAGTAATGTTCTCGCTGAATTAGTAACCGATATCTCTGCAGTGCACTCACGATGCACTGCAGCCAAAAGCAACGAGTCAGCTGAGGATTTCCTGCTGACTCGAGAAGCGGTAGTCCGTTTCGTGCAAGATTCCATCGCGGAAGCGGTGGATAAGCAAAAGCGAAATGCAGACAATAATGGAAGGGCAAATGCTCAAACATTTATTGAGGGTGATTTAGTTTTACTGTCAACAGTAAACCTACCCAAACATGTAGTGACTAACGTGGGCATCAATAAATTGTTGCCCAAGTACATCGGCCCGTTTCGTGTATTGCGCCGCCTAGGCAACGCATACACGATCGAGTTGCCACGCAGGATGCGTACGCATCCTACGTTTACGTGGGACGTCTTCGTCCGTACGTTCAGTACGCGGCTTCTTCGAACGACGAAAATAGCCATTACTCTCAAGAATCCCCTTCAGATTCTTGTTGTCACGAACCAGATTCGATATCTGGTCGTGTAGAGATGATATCTTTCCATGATATTGGACGATCTCCTGACGAGCTGTCGCCAGCTCGTTACTCAGAGAATGAAGTCGCCGTTCATTCTCCAATAGTGCGACAGCATTGTTTGCCCGAGATCAAACCCAAGCTGTCGCACAATGTCCTCTAAGCGGCGACGCTTATCCCGTTCGTGATCAACATCACAACGGAGCTCACGAGTTACACGGGCAAACCCGTCTAACTCAGCAGCCAAGTCCGATGAAAGAATCGGACAGGGTTTTTCCTCCAATATTGTTCCTAGATCTCCTTGAAGTTGGAGATGCCCTCTCATTGGTTGATATGGGCCATCATATCAACCAACGCGCTGACCAATGACCGATAGACGCGCGCAATGAGTGGAGGGCAAGTCGTCAACATACATAGTTGTAGTTTAATATAGTTAACATAGGTTATAACAGATTAGTTTTATTAAGATAGTTAACTATATTAAATACAGTTTTTCTTTTCCTCTACTTCTAAGCGTTTGTTTAGAAGTAAAGCTTCCTCTGCCTCTTGTGTAAGAGAGGTTTTAAGGCACCTGCTTTCACTGTAATCAGTGAAAGTAGACTATCCTGTAATCAGTATAGTCGGAGGGTGCCTCATTACACCTGTTGTGTGACGATTAGACAGATGGGACAAAAGAAGACAGGTTTTTTTTGACAGTTAGGACAAGGCCCCTACGCTTGCAATGTGGACCACCGAGATGGGCAGGTGAGACGGATGCCATCTGACACATACATGATCAAGTTGCAGTGCCTTTAGGATACATGTTGTACTGTTGACAAACAAGAGTAGTGAATGCTAAATATATTTTACTTTTACTTCTATCCACCTTTGCACAAGTGCATCAACTAAAAGCATCAATTTTTACAGGTTATGAGCCCAATCAGGCGGTGTAGCTAATCAAGCTGGACCCGTCGTGGTAGCTGACGGCCCTAACAAACCGACGACCACCGCTTGAATTGAAGTTGGCAGCGTTCGTGGCGGCCATTGACATGGTGCTGGTTATGCTCGGGGACCCATCCGAACGGATCAATCGGACGGAGGTCTCCCAGAAAGAGCAAGTCGGCAAGCACTGAAAGGGCCCATCAAAGCAAAGCAGTTTTGGTCTGTTAGAGGGCGTCCTGCGGACCATGTTTCCGTGGGCTTTAACATAAGCCCGGGTGCATCACAGGCAGGATATGCCTGCGGGCTACAATCTCGGTATGGGTATGCCGAAAAGGATGTATGTTCACCCGACAACCTGTCAAACACGATCTTTTGTAACATCAACACGTCTTGAGAGTTTCAAGCGAATCGGTACGTGTCAGACTTTTCTTGAAGAAAGTGAATAGGTACGGAGATATAAGGGATCGAGGGTAATTTCGTGGTAATCTTGTTTGTTTAGCATGTTTCCATCAGGTAAATAAGTAAAACAATGCTGTTTTCTTTAGCAAAAGTCCCAAGTAAACGATGCTCATGTAGTATTTTTTTCTGCCGTGGAAAGGGCAGGTATCCGTCCTAGCTTGTCATACTATGACTCACTCCTACAGTTTGGGCCAAAACGACATATAAAACTGCCGTTGGCATCGAATTATTAACATATACTTCGATGTAAATTATAAATCTTCACTACATGCTATCCCTAACAGCATCAAGCCTGCTAATCACGCTCTCCGAAGAAATTTGAGCATGCTCGAGAACTATCGATACGTCCCTTAGACTCCCCAACACCCGTAGCAAAGCCGGCATCAAGTCGATCGTAGTCGCCAAACGCACCACACGATAACTATCTTTGTCGAATAAAAAAGTCATCAAGCAGCTGCACTCAAGACGCTGGCCCAATAGTTGCTGGTACAATTGTTCGCGGCCAGCTTTCACTTGGTATTCACCTGCTGGCTTCTCCAAATGAGGAAAAAGGTACTGCAACGTGAACTCAGTCACCGTCACGCTGAGCTTTGCTTGGGCAGACATCACGGAACCGACCGACTCGATACGTTGGAGCTGCAAGCTCGGTTTGTCAAAGCAATGCGAGTATAATCGCAGCTGATCCATCAAAGCATCAACTCCGCGTAGCTCACCCATCGCGACATCGTGTGCAAACGCTCGCTCTAGAGTAACCACGATCTGTCGAGTCTCCGTATACTTTTTCATCTCCTGAGTATTGGACATGCTCCACGGCGAACGGAAGCCGGTCTCGATTAGTCGAAAGACTTCTGCAGCAATCAACCATGAACTATGATTACTCCTCTCGTGAGACGACACGTCTCGATATCGACGTTTTAAAATCTCCAACTCCTGATGCAGCTCCTCAACACTCTTGTCCAGTGCCAACTGTGCGATTTTCTGTTTGTCTCGGTATCGAGCTTGATTAGCTCGACACTGCTCCCGACGACGATACTTACTGATCTCAGCACGTTTACGTTTGTGCCTTTCCTTGATGTCGTCTTCAATCAATCTCGGCGTCCCGTTTACTTTGCGTAACTGCGATGATCTGTCAACTGTTACACCAGTGAGAAAGAGGAGCGCAGTGGACGCTTCCCCTTCGGATCCAACTTTAGAGTGGAGCGACACAAGAGGACTCGCTGTTCGTCTTGACCGGTAGTACGGCATCATGGTGTCCACGAAGTCGGCATTGTGGTTGTCTGCAGGGACACGGGGCAACACGAGGCCATCGCTCTTGTCGTTTGGACGTGGTGGGAAAGTGGTTCATTGAATTTTCAAGAGTTGATTGATCACCGAGTAAGACGATTCCGAAGTGGACTATCACGTGGCATTGAGCGAGAGAGTTAGGCATATTGTTGATTGCCAGCAGATCTCAGGATTTCAAGTTCGACCGGTACTTGAAGCTTTGTTTCATACCAAAGCGACTCGACTAAACGTGCATGCGGTCACGCTTCTTGGTCAAAGTACAAGCAACTAGTAAACACGACGCCGTCGAATATATTCCGTGACACGAAGCTTACACTTATACGTAACTAAACAAGTCGATATGTCAAAAAAGAGGTATACTTTATGCCCTCAGGTGGAGAATCCTGTTAAGATCAAATACGTACAACACGTACGAAATTGAGCTTAGTTTGATCAAACACGGAACTGATCCGTTTACTCAATCAAGAATTCTTACTAACACTTACTCCATAGCGGCATGGCTTGTCCGCGGAAGTCAGTCCATCTGTAACAATGTGTAACTTGCACTTCCCCAGCACATTACAGTGTTCGTATGTATCAACAAGCTTGCCCTATTTCTACATATACAAGTGTTACCAGTTTATATGATTTATCGTATGTCTAAAGGTCTGTGCTTAGGCGAGTAGTTTGTTTGAAGACTATTTACTAGTTACTTTTAGTACGGAGGCACGTGGTATTACAGCGCCCGTAAACCACGTACTGTGATTGATAGCACGAGCATCAGATATGTATCAACAACACACTCACAAGATTATTAATAAAGATCCAAAGAAGGCTGTTCGATGTCGGCCAACGGCAGCTAAAGTTCTAGAAACACCAAATGGAACTTGTGCAATGTTTCTGTCAGCATCCCCATTCATCTTTCTGCTGTTTTGTCAAGAACAAACTCTTAAGGATGTATGTAATCTTGTCCTTGTTTATCGTCTAACCTATCGATCGATGCAAAACTCAAGTAAATTTGTGTAGTATCACTTGAACCATAGTAATCCTTTTACGAGGTCTCGCAATACTAGGGGTTAAGGTCGAAGGATACGGACGCGAAAGATTTGCTCAATCCAACACTGATTTTACAGCGGTTGCTGCGAAAATACGTGCATTACAAACTTTCCCTATCGCGTAGGAAGCTGCCTATATGTGTGCTTTATTAATAGATGGAACGCTCAAATGAGGTGTAAATTATGCCAAGCTTGCGTGCTGTAGGGCCAAATCATTCCACGTTTTAAGGACCCTTGTCAACCATCATTCAAAAGATTTAACTCCGCTGGAGGGCTCATGGCACTACTCTAAACGTCACGAGCGATAATATACGGTTCCTGTCACACGTTGATCTACTAACTATCTTCTAGGAGGGGTAAGACTATTTGGGTATTGGCTGAATTCGGTTCGCGTCTATCTGTAGTGGTCAATTTCCAGCTGTCAAGTGTTCCGGCTCAAAACCATTAACCTTGATAGTTTGAGCCGGAACACTTTTAGAAAAACCCTTTTTTTAGAAATGGGAAACAGTACCTATTTTATGAAAAATGTTTTTTTTTAAAGTGGACCAAATATAAAATTGCATTTTTTAACGTGATCAAATAAACAATGGCGAAGGTAGGTGCGCTCTTATATAGAGAGACGTCTGCTTCGACTACCGCTCGAGCACTAACCTCGTTCTCACTGCTCTGTATCGTTTTATTGTCTGCATCGCTTTTCAGGATCTGGACCAGATCAACATGGATCTTAACGTACGATTGAATCCCCAGCAGTTCCCTGTCTTGCACTCTCTTACCGAATGATCGTCCTGTTTCCTCTCTCTCCTTTTTCAGAACGTGTTAAACCGCATGGACGTCATCGAGACGCGACTGGCAGATGAGATAAAGCAAGTGGATGGTCCTGTAGGTGGCGCTAATCTCCGCGAGTATCAAACACAGCTGCTGCTAAAGCTACGCGCTATCCGAGGTATCAACTACCTCTGCATTTGCATCTATCTGTGTCTGTTGCAATGCTAATATTTGTAGCACTGGATAAAAAGAGACTAACAATGTGACGTATGTCGTGTATTGTATTGTAGATTCAATGCAGAAGGAAGGGTCGTCCCTAGAGCAGCTACGTAAGGAACGTGACGACGCTCGCATTGAGCGTGACGCCCTTAAGAAACAAGTGGATAAACTCAATTATCGTGTGCACCACCTGAAGCAGCATGTGCCTGTGCCATCGCCCACTGACATGAAGCTCTAAACAGCCGTGTTTATTTTACTTACAATCTCTGGTTCTTGATACCATATCATATATCCCAGGGTTTAAAAGCTCCTATTTTATTTTGACCTTTTTCGTTCTCCATATCAAATTATCTTTTTCAAAACCGGTATCAAACCGATACTTGTTAACGCTTCCAGTTAGCTCATTATCAAGATGACCAAGACAGAAGCCACTGAGTCCGACGTTGTGGCGTCACTCGGTCATTCGACAGCTACAGAAGCGGTGAAAAGCAACGCAACCAGTTCCTCAGTATCTACAGATGTGGAAATGGCGCTAGAGGCTCGTCTCACGTCGTTTTTCAGTGCCTACGACGCCTCAGACGACGAGCAAGAATTAATTACCGCCTTCTTGACCACATCTCGTGCCTCTCAGTGCCTGTTGACGCAGCAATTATTAGCCAATTCAGCAGTCAAGAGCTTTTCGAAGCTACTCCAGTTCTTTTTATGTGTTATAATGGCTGCACATACCCGGTCACACGTCAGTTACCGCGAGAAAAAACCGGTACACGAGACGAGTTCAATTTGTTGCTCGTTATCCCGAAATACCGTTGAAAGTTGCAGGAATGTAGCGCAAACCGAGCGTGTTACTGGTATGAAAGACAGTTGCGACAAGTTGAAGTTGCCCGAGAAGTTTCACAAGTGTTTAGCAACTCATTATGGCAGTATCAAGCGACTCAAGTGTGAAGAAGTGTGGCATGGAGACCATATGGCGTACAGATGCAGGACTTGTGGTCTCTCGGATTCGAGTTGTATGTGTCTAGCATGTTTTGATCCAGCGGACCATGAAGGACATGATTATCGAGTGTATCGCTGTTCTTCTGGTGGCTGTTGTGATTGTGGAGATCCATTGGCTTGGAAACCTCAAGGTTTTTGCAAGAACCACAGTGCTCAAAAGGAGAAAAAAGGACAGAGTGAAGATAAAGTGACTATGATGAAGATGCATCCAGAAGAAAATGCGATTGTTCAGATGTTTGTAAGGCAAATTATGGAGTTTTGCGTCGAAACGTTACGTGAAGTACATGTGTCGTGTTTGAGACCACATGCAAGAGAAAATGCAGATCCATTCTATCCGCGTCGAATGCTGCCTAGGACAGGAATGCTGCGCTCGGCGTTTCCTCCGATTGTTAAGGTGCACGTTGACAGATTGCAGCAGACGCTGACGTGGCTGCAGATGCTCTCGATGAGTTGTCTTTATTATCGCAAGGTGATATCGGGGATGTTCTTTGAAGAGGTACCAGCGGGATTTGAGCTGGATGCGGTGTCTACTCAGAGCACCATGAGCACCTTAGAGAGTTTGTCTGAGCAACCGATTGAAGAAGGACCAGTCGAGACGGTACCAATAACCGGAAAATCAGATGGAGAAGAAGTGATGGGAGGAGCTTTCAATCATGGACCTCTGCTGATGCTTGATATATTTCTAAAAGCAGGGGTACTGCTGCCTGTTGAGACGTGTGATGTGCTTGGCGTGTTGTACCTGAAGCTACTGTTCGACCAATCGTTCAAGCAAATGTACACTTGCCACTTTGTAGAATGGTATCCGTACTTTATCGAGCTGTACCTGACTGCTAGCGACGAAAACAATGAAGACGGCATGCGAAACCTGTCACGATTTATTGATCGTCTCTTCTGCCAGCTCTTCCACAGTAACGCACAATTGCGCGAACTGGAGATTGTTTTCGCGTCGATGCGACCTACTTTCAACACACATGAGACCCAAGGAACCCGTTGTCGTCGACGGCGGCGGCAGCCACATCATGTTGATGGCATCTTTGCTCCAGCGTCCGACTCGACACCATCATCCTGTGTCGAATGGCTAATGATATTTTTGCTAGAGAAGCTCAATGATTTATTTCGAAGTACTCTCCGGCTAATGACTATCCTGCCTCAGCCTCTTATAAATGGGATCCCAACTAGTAGTAGCAGTACAAATGGGAGCAGCACATCTACGGTGGCCATAGGAACTGTACCAGAGGCTCCGCCTGTGTTACGGGCAGTCCAAACGGTGGACTGCGGACGAAATGTGTACAAGAAACGAATATATGCCCGATTATGCTCCGATTTACGAACACTACTGGTACATCCACAGATCGCAGCGGAAGTATTATTGAGGTCTTACCGTTGCATTGGCGAAGACGACCGTGTTCTTCGCGAGGCGTCAGTGTATGCGCAGCTCATGAAAGCCTTCGAGTTGCTGCAGCATATGGATTTACAGACTCGTCATGTTCACCAACATGTCGAGTATGAGTCTCAAAACTGGACATTTGCTTTTGTAGCAGACTATGAAATGAAGCTACTGCTTAGTGCTTTCCTTACGGGCATTCCTGCTTGCTTTTCCAGAGAGGTGTGGCAGAGTATTACAACGGGGAAACAAGGAGCAATGGGAGTAATTACGGGTGGCACACCGCTCAATCCGTTAGAAGTAGATACCTTCCGACCTGTTGCGCTGGCTCGAGCAATTTTACAACCCGTGCGAGCATCGCTGGCCCGGTGGACGAAACGCAATGGAAGACTCGAATTCGTATTTGATGCGGCAGAACTAGCTGTAACTTCCGCTGGTCCTGGCGAGGCAGCGGATACCGAGGCTGCAACAGTCACTCAGCTTGTTAAGTACTATGAGCAGGGCACTGTAGCTCATGGGGGCGCAAGTGCAAAGAGCTTTCACTTTCCGCTTCATCAAATGTACGCAGCACTAATTCATGCTCTGTGCGGCGTTGTGCGTCCCCAGACTTTGAACGACTGGCGCGAGTTGCTGGGCATGGGATCTACTGATGCTGAAAAGCGTGAGGACTTGACGTTCTGGTATAGCGCGCTGGATCACCCTCTCCGTGTGCTTCTTTTTTCGAGAGAGATTAAAGCTGGTCTATGGGTACGAAATGGTGGAGTGATGCTGCAACAGTTGATTCATTATCATTCAAAACATTGGCGGTACTTCGGTCTTCATTCTGACTTGTTCTTATGCCAACTGGGGGCTACCCTCCTTCCGCACGGGAGTTTCGCGCGTATTTTCTTTCAGCAGTTGCCGTTTAGTATTCGTGATTCGCATGTGCTTGGACTAAGCTCGCCGACTATCATGCAAACTGGTGACGTTGCTGGCAACGCTGACCACAGTCGTGAGCTGCGCCAGGAGCTAGACGTTGTGGAGGAGGCGCTGCGCCTCTTACTTCAGCTTGTGCTGGCACCTGTCAAACTGGCATCTGCAAGCTCACCCGAAACAGCCGCGGTATGGCTTCTTGAGCGCGAGATCATGCACTGGCTGACATTAGGCCCGTTTACGCGTAGTGAGGTAATCATGCGAACAGACATGAAGTTGGTGGAGCAGATTAAGCAACTTCCAGCGCACGAATGGGCAGAGTTGGAAGAGGAGGAAATTCTTACCCATGTACTGGAGAACGTTGGTGTACATGACGACCCAGTTGGAAGCAGTAGTGGTTCTCGTACTTCTCGAAGCGGCAGCGTTTTAGGATGCGGACTCAAGATGAGTGGGTCGTGGAAATTGAAGCCCGATCTGTGGTCTCGAGTGTCTCCTCTGTTTGAATGTTTCACGCCATCTGAAGCACAGCAATGCGAACAAAACACCCGCAAGAGTGTTCTTAGGACAAGTGGCGAAAATGATATCTCGACAACATCCGCTGTCCTGTCCATGTTGCCTTGCGCACAATTTGAAGGAGCGTGTAGCGTTGACATGCATGGTGCGATTGCCGAAACGATGTTGAATTCGTCGTATATGGCCAGCGTTTTGTTCGTCATTTTTGAAAACTACAAACGTAAGATTGTCGCACAGCACCAAAGCGAGCGAGTAGACAGCGACGATCAAGACAGCACCACAAACGAGAATCTTTTGCTTGCTGCACTGCATTGTCTGTACGTGGCGGTCGAGATGCTACCAAAGGATATTCGGAGCCAGCGCGTGCAAACTTCGGGAAACTGTGTTGTTATCGAAAGCAAACTAAATCTGGACGACATTGCCAAATGCTTCGAGGAAGAGAGCAGCTTCTTCTTCAAACTTTGTACCGAGATACCGCTAGAACCCAATGCTCAGTACAAGGGGAACGAAGCAACAACTTCTTCATGTAGTTTGTTGTCGCTGCTGCTATTCTTCGCTGAAGACAAAAGGGGGATGGAGGACTCGCGCTTTATGGTGAATATGATTCTTGAATCACTACGTGATAAATCGGCAGCCTGCTCACAGTATATTGAGCAAAAAAAGGTGGATGCCCAGTCGATAGAGCGTATCAATGACTCCAATTCTGATCGCGTTGGTCGATGGGACAGCGTCGACACACGTGGCGAACAACCAAAGCCTAGTGCAAAAGAGATGATAAGAAGACGACAGCAACAGATATTAGAGAAAATGCGGTCACAGCAGTTGCAGTTTTTGTCTTGCAACAGTGACACATTGGTAGACGAGACCATGGAAAGTAATCGTAATGTTACAGAAGGCAACGGCATAGATGTGGACTCTAATAGCGACAGCTATGACGAAGCAATGGAGTCTGATGAGTATGTGGAAGAAGACCATGAGGAAGAGAAAGATGAATGGGGGTTTCCTACTGGTCAGGTAGATGTGCATCTGTATTTGGATCATGTTACCTCAGCTATCGCTCATATGAGAGAAAAGCAGCGAAAGTGTCAAGACCGGAGACGGCGGCGCAGGCGACGCACTCGAAGCTCGTCAATTACGGCCGAGAGCGACGAGAGGGAACGCTCATCCTCCGTAAGTTACGACTGCGGCTCGCTAGATGATCATTTGCCTCAGACTGAAGAGTGTGGTTTGTGTCGTTTACCGTGCGACCCACGTTCCCGTGAATCATCGTTTGGTCTTGTGGGTATGATATTGCCGACGAATATGCCACACAAAATGGAAAAATGCTCACTACTTACCACGAGTTCGGACGTCCGTCCTTTTGTGTCATCACGACTACCTTCACTCCGCGTGCGTATACCAGGAGATACCGATGAAACGTGCATGCAGCTTCCGGACAGCGTGGTTTGGAGCTGTGGCCACGCTATTCATCACACATGCTTAAAGGCGTATCTTATGTCGTTGTGGAAGCAAAAGCACGGCCGTGTTCCCTTGGAGATGGCAAGTGGTGAAGACCGCCTTCTTAGCGAGCGTGATATGGAGTTTGTGTGTCCAATCTGTCGCCGGCTTTCCAATTGTCTGGTTCCGCGCATTTCCCTTGAAAAGCTTCGTGAGCGGGTATCAGCCACTGAGTTGATGGACATGGAACTTGGATCGGACGAAGAAGAGGAAGAGAAAGACGATGGACAGGATCCATTGGACTTCCTTCAGTGGCTCGACACCCAGATGAGTTTTCGCGATGACTCGCCAGTAGTCAAGCGACGGCGCTCTCGGACGCAGTCGAGTTTGCGTCTAAGGCGGCGTTTGCTGTCATCTGCATCGAAATCGTCGTTATCTCCCAGGTCGCGATCCTCTGCTGGCTCTACGTCGTTTTGTGGTGAGCAGGGTCCTACTGAGCAAGATGTAAGCGTAGAGCGTGAGATTGGCGCCTTCTGTCACGAAATCGTGTTACGTTCCGTGCGTGCCCAGTTGTACCTACCGACGCTCCTGACAAGCTCCATGCGCGATGAGAGTAGCCTGGATTTGGAAATGCAGCAGCTGAGCTCGGAGTGCGGTGCCCAAACTCCAGCGTGGCAATTGCTTTTGCATTGTTTAGAGGTGCAATTACGCGTGGCTGCACGTGAAAAAACACTTTTGCAGACGGATGCTGTAGATTCGTTACAGCTCCGTTCAATGCGCCAGCTTGCAGATATAACAGCAGCTGCAGTGGCGTTTTATACTCCAAGTTCATTGGCATGGACTGTGGTAGAAGCGCCGACTGACAAGCAGTTTGAGAGCGTTATGACACGACTCAATGGTCTGATATTCGGCCAGCAAGTGCTCGTTGAAGAAGATGATGATGCATGCACTACTAAGTATAATACTCGCTACCAGCTGCAAACGGGTGACTCCGAGGAAACAACAAATGCAGCATTAGTTGGGACGCCAATATTGTGCCACCCGCGGTTGCTGACGTGTTTTGCAATGAGGATGATGTGGAGACAAAGCATAGCAACACCGAACGCTGATGTAGCAGCTGAGCAGCTACTCACTGAAGCATTTTTCTCGGCGCGGATATTGTTCACAGCCCAGGTGCTGCAATCACTTGCCTATCTATCACTGCAAGATGGGCAGCAGTCATCGACTAATGAAGCAAACAATAGGAAAGAAGCAAATGTCAAGAATACTAAAGAAATTCGTGACTTTGAGGGAGTAGAGTCGCTTCGCGACGCATCTGCGTGGATTTCGCTGATGCTGGCGCGGTCTCGCTTAATGGAGAGCAAACCGATCGTGTCGCCTGACGTTAAGCTTCAAAGAAAGCAGAACAAAGCTGCGATCGAGGAACAAGTGAGCGTGTTGTGCTTACCACTGGCTCAGCAGATGCTTCTGCTCATGGATGTCGTCGTGCCTCCAATGCCACATCAACACCACAACGATAGTCAAGGAAACGGCGAATCCCAAGCGCCCCAGGTTGTTACCGAGTCTTGTGCCGTGTGTGATGGATTGTTTTCTTCGACATCGGCGTCAACTGAATCACCTTCGGCGTCTGTGCTGCTGGAAAAGTGTCTGCGGAGACTTCATTTACCCCCTCTGAGACTCTTCTTCCACCGTCAGATATTCCCGTCCAGTCAGCGCGCATTGTGCCAGCTCTGGGGTGCTCAGCTCGAAGCAAAGGCTGCCGTTTCTCGACAGCAAGCTCGCTCTAAGGCGCTGGTAACTTGTGATTCTCCTTCTCTGGCCGATATGTTTCCGCTACAGCAACAAGTGATGCTACTTTCGTCTCGAGCTTTCGCCATCGCCTCTAGTGGAGCAAACTACCGCGTTCTCATTCCACTGCCGCGCGTGTACATGGACTTGTTTATCCGTTACAACGAGAAGCCGACAGGAGTCTGTCACCAATGCGCCCAGGTCCCCCAACATCCAGGATTGTGCCTCTTTTGTGGTGAAGTGATGTGCTGTTTTTCGGCATGCTGCGAGTCAAAAGAAGGTGGTGGCGTGGGTGAGTGTACTCAGCATGCCCAGCGTTGCGGTCTTGGATTGGGTGCTTTCTTGTTACTGCGTGCGTGCACCGTAATCCTCTTTTTAGGCAACGAACGACGGTGTGTATGGGGAAGTCTCTATGTGGATAAGAATGGCGAAGAAGACCCATACCTGCGACGTGGTAAGACGCTGTATCTCGACTCGAGTCGCCGCTTGGCGCTGGAATCATTGTTGGTCTCGCATAGCTTCTCCCAGAACACTGCTATCTTGCAGAACACGTCAAGACGGGACGGACGTCGGTATTGAGCAAATTGAAGTGCGACTAACGTCACCTGCATCCTGACAGCTTGTGTAGAGTGAAGATTCAGCAGCAGTACTGACACTTGATTTGTGAAAGCTGATGCGTCTGGTTTCCAGATACAGGAATGCAGCGTGCGGATCAGCGGACAGTTGCCGACTGCCAGCGGTTCTGAAAGGGCTAGGATGCAGGGGGTATCGTATTCTATGCGAATTCAGTCATTAACAGGTTCCCATCAAGCGTGTCCAGCACTATCGCGAACAAACAACGTACTATTGGCCCTGAAGAAACAACCGTTTCGTCGCTACAAAGGTGTGGAAAGCATGCTGATACGAACGCTGAAGACAGTCAAGGACTCAGCGCGGGGAAGTGCGTGGCAGACAGCAGTTTTACAGCAGATAGCAATCAATTTATGGGCTCATCGAAACGAGCTCACCGTGTACCATGTTTGGGTCGTCTATAGAAGCGCAAAGAGGCAACTAAATAGCTGCCATCCAGACCAAGAACAAGATAATAGTTGCTGCAAGCTCCACTGCTGCCAAGGAGTGAAGGAAACACTGTACCATATCTGCTGGACATGCCCGTGCGCGCAAGCTTGCTGGCAGAAGCTCATCTAGAAGAACGATGGAGGTTTGGATGACTCTTGCAAAAAAATGCAAGCAGACCCGAGTGATGTTTCAGCAAGTGAATGTGACCATCGCCGGTAGCGTTTATGAATTTTAAAAAAACTTGCATGAGGCAATTTCAAGCCGTAGCAAAGCGAGAGCGTTGGCAAAGCAACACAAATATACAAAAAAAATTCGTGTGACGAACCAGGCGCTTAGGATCGACCTGACAGACATCCTGCTATCACTAAAAGTTAGATAGACTCGTCTGTCCCTCTCTCTCTCTAGCTAGAAAACCCACTTGATTTCAGCAGTATACAGTTATGTTCCTCCCCCCCCCAATCGTTTGTTTGTACTATACTAAGTGCAAGTGGTGTTGGACTCTTCTTTGATCCATTTCAATAGGGAACCACTATCAAATATGCTTGACAAATCCGAGAATGAACCCATACTTTTGTCCATGTCGCAATGTCGAGTGGACGTTTGTAATTGCGTTTTGGCAGTTCAGTCCGCACGCAAGCGACGGTATAATGCTAGAAAGTACAGTAGATCAGGTTTTATAGGCTGGTGAGGGTATGCAACAGATGTGTTGTATGCATGGTGAAGTGTTAGTTATTAGCTCGACAGATTTCTTGAAAGTATGTTTCTTTTATCATAACGAATACTAAGTTAAAGATCAAAGACAAACGTCACATTTCTTCCGGGCTTTGAAAATGAGGGGTATCATTCAGGTAGTAAGACACTTGAGCCAATGAAATCACTAAACATTGTTGTCACGGTAACGTCTTCTATCTTCAATGAAAGAGAGAGTATCAGCTGTCGTAGAGTGAATCCACTCGCATATTGTCTGTTCACAACTAGCGATCGACTACGTTTTTGTTGAATAATACTTGGGAAAGTGATGAAATAGCTAGTCATGTGAAAGACACTTGAAGCCCTTGACGACTTGCATATATATATGTACATTTCCATACGATTCATGAAGCCACATGTGATTCCTAAAGCTTACAATGTCGACTTTTACTCACCCTGCGTACATTACCACTTGTTAAAATTTCTAAATGGTAACGCGGCCTGAGCCATGAACAACCGACGGATGGGCCCTGTCGTATGTTGACCTTATACAGCCACGTACGGACGATCATCCCTTTGTAGTACAATTTGATGCAGGTCGGCCGTACATCTCGACGTCAATCCCATTCCAATTTTCACCTTGTCACGGTGACTTTGCACCCTTCCGCTCGTCTCGATAGCTCACTCTAAGCTCAATATGTGGCGTCAATTCGGTCTGCTCTGCGCGCTACTAGGTGTTACTGCTACTGCTGATACATCTAGCAACGCTACCGGGTGGCACATGGCACCTATCACCATCATGACGGCCCGCATCCAAGGCGACCCTCCTGTCTGGAACGCAGAGTTGGGTCTCTGGCTCTCCAAGTACGGTTCGACAACGAATGAAGCCTAAATGAACAACCTCGACACGGTCAACATGGCATCTATTGATGGCGCTTTAATGTTCGTTCAGGCTGAAGGGATCAACGTGAATAAACAGTCGGTCAAGTGCGAGCGCAAGAACAAGATGCAGTACGTTGTGTTCTACGAAATGGTGATCATGCAGCCAACCAGTAGCATCGCGTACTACAACAACAAGCACAATGTCCCTGAGTTTGGCCCATTTGTGGCCATGGACGGTGGCAAGTGCACGAATGCAGGAGTCGACTTGCCTGAAAGCTGCAAGGTCTACTACGGATTGGACGGAACCATAAACGTTGGTCCGAATGTTGGCTGCAGCCTTCAATCATCGGATCCACGTGCACTTTACCCTGGCACTTCCTGGATTTCATTCCCAAACTCATGCGCTCATAAATACCGTGCGGAGAAGACGCATGAGTTCAGAGCTCAGTTCCCTGGTGGTCTTTGTCCCATGGGAGTACAACCTGATGGAGTGATCTGCACGTTCACTTACAAGATCAAGGGCTACTTAAACATCGACGACCTGGTTGGAATTACCAAGATGGGCTTTAGCAGCTACCAGCAGTTTTGCGAAAGTGGCGGTGTGGAGTTCAAGGCTACGAACACTGGTCAAGGATTCCAAGTGGAGCAGTGTATTGATTTTTGGAAAAATTCTGGTGACCCACAGGCGAATGCCATGCGCACCACTCAAATGATTGACATGTATAACCAAATGTCAAGTAGCGGTTCCATCCCCAACATGACCCCGCTTCCAAATGTTGAGGTGCTCACCGAATCGAACCCGCCTTGCTACCGAAATAGCGCGACATGTGCACAGGCTCAATACGGTTGCAAGCGTGAAGGGCTTTCACAAATCTGTTCGGTGTGTAACGGCGAGGAGCCTGGTTGTAAGAAGGCTCCTGCAGACTACTCATTCCCCGTCCTGTCGTAGCCGCAAGCCAACTTGTGGCTCCTTTGGCTCGTTCATTCGGTCTGTTTACGGTCTAGCTATTTCAAGGGGCTGCTTCAGTAAGCAAGCAGTACACAATAACATCAACGAAAAAATATGTTTAAACCTGCACCGATGTCTTTGTCATGTGCCATAAGATTGTAGTAGTGACTTCGTGATGAGGTGCCATGGGACGCTACAAAATGGTATCAAGGTCGTTTTTCCGACGTATTTCGCTAGTCTACAGCCATATCCGAGGTAGAGACCCTTTTGTACTGTACCAAAAACAATGTGATTCCCTTCCCATTGCACAAAAAAATCAGGTTCATCCCCATCCTGTGTCCTCTACAAATCAAGGGGGGGGGCATTAACCAATTCCTTTTGTAGGATATCTACAGTATCTACTATTTGCGTATAGGGTGTCTTGATCGAACTCGTGAACAATGTGGCACCGCTTCGGATTGTTTCTCTCTCTTCTCATTGGAGCTCCTCTGGCTTTGGCTTCTCACACTGCGCATCTCACCATGATGGTAACCAAGGAGTCTTCGAGCACTCCGACCACTTCAGGTTCCATGCCAATGGCAGGACCTATATCGACGGCCGATGCAGGACCTGTTTCGGCACCGGCCGATCCAGGAACTGTCTCGGCTGCCGACATTAAAGACTCCACTTCGTCTGACAAACTTGTTACTTCTAACCCGTCATCTAGCGGCAGCTGGCACATGTCGCCCGTGACGGTCGTCCAGGCTCGTATTCAAGGTGACGCTCCTGTATGGAACAAAGACGCCAAGATGTGGCTGTCTAAGTTCGGTGACACGGCCGAGCTTGCTTATATGAACAACTTGGACACTGTCAACACGGCGTCGGTCGAAGGAGCTTTGATGTTTGTACAGGCGGAAGGAATTAACGTGAACGAACAGTCAGTCAAGTGTGAACGTAAGAACAAGATGCATTACGTGGTCTTTTACGAGGTGATGATCGCTCAACCAGCGTACGGCATCAAATATTACGAGAACCACACGCCCCCTGAGTATGGCAAGTTTGTGGCTATGGACAGTGCCAAATGTACAGACGAGAACAGCGATCTGCCGGTGGATTGTAAGGTCTACTACGGACTGGACGGCGAGCCTGACATTGGTCCAATGGTGGGCAGCAACCTACAGACATCGGACCTTCGTGCACCGTACCGTAACAACTTCTGGTTCTCGTACCCAAGCTCGTGCGCACAGAAGGTGCGTGAGGAGAAGACGGACGAGTGTCGTGCTGAGTATCCTGGTGGACTGTGTCCTATGGGCGTCAAGCCTGATGGTGACAAGTGCACGTTCAGCTACAAGATCCTGGGTTATCTGAACATTGACGATCTGGTTGGGATCACTGAGATGGGCTACAGTAGTTACAAGGAGTTTTGTGAGGACGGAGGGGTGGAGTTCAAGGCCACGAACACCGGTAGCGGCTTCAAAGTGGAGGAGTCGATCGACTTTTGGAAGAAGCCGGGGGATGAAGACGCCAACTCAAACCGCACGAGGTCCATGGTAGAACTGTACAATAAGCTGGTGAGCAAAGACACGAGCTCTAATATGGAATCACTTCCGACGATTAAGAAGCTGACAGCGGCGAACCCCAAGTGTTACGAAAACAGCAAAGCGTGCGCGACCTCCCAGTACGGCTGCAGCCGTACATTGTATTCGCAGATCTGCTCGGTGTGCAACTCGTCAAGCAATGGCTGTGAGGTTGCTCCCTCTACGTTCTCGTTCCCAGAGCTGAAGCTGCCAGCCAAATCCGATGGCTCTTCAGGCCCGGGAACTTCTGGTTCATCAAGCAGCTCTGTGACGGCTTCATTGACGTCGGTTCTCGTGGCCGTTTTTATCACCAGCCTGCTGTAAGTGTAGGATGGCTGCTGTCTGACATTCTTTTTGTTCACGCTGGAGCATTCATAAAGGCTAGGCGAATCCAACTTCATTTGGTTTTGATTTTGTATCCGAACTCGTTGATGGTGCTTTTGCTTAAGTTGGCATCGCATTTCTAGTAAGGAGGCTTTCTAAGTTGGCAGGAAGTTTGGTCAGCGAGTTTGCCATCATCATGTTAATTTGTTTATCTCAAAGCACATCTGGCCCTTCGCAGAATGCCTATCATAAAGCTCAAGGCTAAAGAAAAAGTGATGGCTACGAGCATTGAAGTGCTGTCGACTTATAGTTTCTCCTGCTTCACATCTTGTCCAAACGTTTCAACAAACTGACACTACTTGCTTGACTTCTTTCCTTTGATTTTCTCGATCGCAAGTCATTCCGTACCGATGTAATGGTAACGAGCTCTGATTGTGTAAACTTGTGCGCTTCTGGAGTCAGAATAGCTGTTTTCAAGTGCTCGAGATCCATCAGCACCCACAATCGTTCATACACTTATAAGATGATTGTCTTCTCGCTATCTGCTAAACATCATGCGGATAGTCTAGTCTGTCCAGCCAACGAAGGTGGAAACTGTACACGTTCTCGCAGATTAAAGACTACCTGCTTGCTGGTAGCATAAGTTGTTTCGTTGAAGCAATGTTGTTTCCTACTGTGCCACGTTGGAAGGTTGTGGTAGTGGCACTAGTTTGCAATCAACAATAAGCCACGCATTGTCCCAGGATCGACAGCACCACAGCACTAGAATCTCAGCATGGTGATAGAAATGTTTCAACACGAGCTAGTACGCGTCAGGGTCTCGTGCTTTCACAGGATTTTTGTAGCGAGATACGGGCGTTTAAATGCTGACAACACCACACCATTCACTGCACGCGTACGAAGAAATCCGGTGAATTAAACCGACAATACACGGAAAGAAGATTAGGACTGACCATCTGAGCAGCACCAGTCACGTTTATATGGAGGTGATGGCCCAACTCTTTTGCGCGTCTTCTAAGGTCGTTAATCACGTTGCTCCATCGTTATCGATAATCTTAGGCAAGAAATGCCTCGTTGGTGTAGTTGGGCATCGCATTGAAGCGTGGCTTTTCGTTATGGGCAACAATGCCAGCAACAAAGTGGCCACCATGCCGCCATAACGCCCCAATAGATAACTGATGCAGAACACGAGGTCCAAAGCGACAAGATTGTTTGCCACCAAAGGTCTAAGCTTCACGTGGAATGTACTGGTTGAGCTACTCAGCTGTTGGACAATACGAGTTTATCATCGACGGGACCGCACGAATGCTCAGAAGAATGCTACCGCACCCCACTTTACCGCTTGAGCTAACGGATGGGGATATTTACGACGCCGCAGCAGAATCGCTTGGAACAACACCCACTGGCGTTCAGTTGCTGCTCATATACTTGCTTCGATTGCGGCTCCAGCGGCATGGAGGGAGACAGGAGCATCACGCTAGCTGCCGTGGTTGCTATCTAAGACCCCTACTGCTGCTAAATGGTCACCTGCATCTCAGAACATTATTGCAATATAATCAGCCCAAGCATGCGTAGCGTGGGCGTGAAAAACTGTCCTTCATTTCTTCTTCTCTCTGCGAGGTAAGCTAAATTTTTACAATCTCGTCCGTCCGTACGCAAGCATCTGAATCCTCACATTCCTACTGTCTCGGTCATGGACTCGTTCCATCCAAGTTCCAAAGCTATCTTCTGTTCCGGATCAAACAACGCTTTACTCATAGCGAAAGAGTTCAAAAAGGCATTGCGCGCTTTGTATTCGTCGTCAAAGGTTCTCACCGACGTTTTTCCGGAATCGAGCGAAATCTCAGCAAGGACCCAGAGACCCTTGTCCTCATTTTCATCGTCAGCTCCATTAGCCGCATCGGTCAAGTTGGCTCGATTCGCCATTGACAGTTTGGCCTTAACGAAAAGTGCAGTGCCACCGATGATTGCTCCGCCAGCAACAAGTCCTAGACCTAGTGGTGCCGCCAGTCCAATAGCTCCAATACTCTGCATAATTGCGATGACACTCCCACTGGCTACGCCACCACCATTGGCAACTGCAGCGGCAGACATCATCGAAGCAGCAGTCGAGCCGCTAGCGATACCACCAGCTCCAAAGCCTACCAAATTAACAATAGGCGTTGCCAAACCCCATAGACCCATCCCAGCTGCGGCTCCAGTTGCAGCACCTCGTGCTGTATTACCAACTGTATTGTTTTCTGGGTTAGTATTACTACTTAATGTACTTGGCATGGGGTGGACCGCTTTTTTACACGTCTTGGACATGGTCGATTTCGTCTTCATGAAGAAAATGCGACTTTGATGGACTGTCGCTTGTCTAAAAAAGATTTAGATGCACCGCTAAATTATCTTCCAATACGTTATAACCTCTGTCAAGGCTAGCATTTATGTTTACCAACTTTTGCTTTATTCATTTTCTTTTGTATGTATTTGATTTTCCAAAACGTTATATCCCCCCGTAAGGTACTCAAATGGATGTCCACCGTACCCATACTTAATTTGCATCATTCTTACACATTCAACTTCAGTTTTACAGCTACACTTTATTTGTTTTTTATTAACACGTTATCAATTGAGGGTTTTTTAGGGCATTTTCCTTCGAATGTTTTTGTTTCCACGGGGGTCCCCAACGATGCTAGTGAGACCGATACCCAACTCACTCGGTCGATATAAAGGTGGCATGGAGCTTACTTTCGGTAATGAATGAGTCTCACAGAGTGAATTGAGCAGCGGATAACTCTTCCGACGAGACATAACCTTCATGGATGTTGCTGGTGGGGTTGTGCAGCCACCGAGCACACTGGATGAGTCTGACGTGGTGCATGAGTCCCACGTGGCGTCTTCGCTTGGATTGGGTGCGAGTGGTGTGATTACATCAACATCTTGCTCATCCCACTCTGCGTCAAAATAATCTTGAACTTCTTCCTCTTCTGTGTATGTAAGGATGGACAAGTTGCCGTGGATTTGATCACGTTCACTGAAGACTTCAAAAGCTTGTGTTGTTGTTGGAACCATATCTGCTGCTTTTTGCCTTGTGCAAATTAGAAAGTGATCAATTAAGGCACCCGATGCCATCGGGTGACAGCCTAGCCAAGAAAGCCGCGTGTGGCTTCAAGCCATTTGCCGTTTCAGTCGTCAGAGCACTTGCCTGTCTGTCCATCACGCTGGATTATTCTCTCAAAGAAATTTAGCGAACCAAGAACTGGTTCGATGGAAAAAATAACGCATACTAAGTATCCACAAAGTCTATTTGTGGCCACGCAAGGCCTTTTTGATCGGCACTGTATGCTAGGCTCAGTAGTCTAGGAGAGGCGGAATTCCAGCAGCGTTTGGCTAAGCTACTTATTACAATGGTTGAGGTCGTAGCAATGGCGTACCGTTGCCACTTTTTCTACTAAGGAAGTTCGTCTTCTGAGACTGCGTTAGCCAATACTAGACCGACGATCGTCTTGTCGATTTTTCATAGTTTTCTTTGGTGTGCGCCAGGTTCAGTTCAGTTGTCCTTTTAGTGCTTCGTCAATGATGTTGATGATCTGGCCACACATCCATGTCATTTCTAACTGTCCTTAGAAACGTACCCATGGCATGGTGGAATTTTAAGTTAAAACATATCCATTTTATTTCGAAGTATCTTTAAACCCACAAATCATCAACGACAAAGATCGTCTGATTCGCATAAATTCTTACAGTGACTTGTACCATAAAAAACAACATCACGTAAAATTCCAAGTTTTCTAGACGTTAAATATTCGAAATGGTATGAAGCCACACAACTGGAAAGGACTCCAGTTGTGCACCGTCGCTAATTGCTCATTCTCCAATTGACCACCTGATAGGAACAACAAAAGTTTCTTGCTGCAATCACACTCGTCGTGTTCGTCCGAATGTCTGTTGTCATGAAATTTGCTGTGCTCATCGCTGCCCTGCTGGGCGTGACCGCCAATGCGTCGTCGCACTTGCGCGTCCACGTCCTGGGCGAGCTTGTACGACCAGGGCTGGATGAACAGTGTGAGTGGAAGCACAAGGCCATAAAATGCCAAGTCAATGAACACAACCTGTACTGCGCCGCTGATGGCTTTTGCAGAAAAAAAGAGACGAAATCGAAGCTCAACGTCTAATCCAGTGGCAAGGTCACTGCTGCCGGTTGGTCGTGCTCTGCAGTGATGCTCAAACCTCAAGTGATTTGTACATCACATATCAGTACAGCCAGGCCCGTGTCAAGTCGTGGCAAGATTAACATACAAGGCCACGTACGAGAAGGTGGCAGCCGAGAGCTGAGGACGGTGGGTCTGTGCATGAAGAGGAAGGCCGACTTGGTCAACCAATGTACCTGAGGTCGTCTCTGCAGTTATGCACGCATAGACAGACAGTGTATCTTTGTCGTAGAACAAGAGGTGCCTTACATCTTGAATGCAAGCTTTATTTCATTTTGTATGAACTATAATGTGTAAGCCATTGTGTCAGTTTAGCTGATTGTTTTGCTGTCATTACATACCAAGTAGATATGACACGGATGGTGGAAGCATCATGAAGCAGATTTTAACTGGATGCAACACCATAGCGGTGCTCGCTATCGCTGCTCGACGTGGTATACTTCTCAAAGCAGGAAAGAAAGCTTCCCTTAGCAACCAACTAACCACTTTCCAACCATCGTCTAACTCGATAAACTAAAGTGTAAGGTAATCATCACAATAGTGCGTCCCTGTTCCATTGCTGGCACCAAGTGGCGAGTATGGCCAAGAGAGCTGGTCCAGCTTTGTAGCCGAATATTAGGACGTATGCCAAGTGCGTTTTCAATGACATTTCATGGTTCAACATCTGTGTAAAAAGCAGCCTGATGTCTATACAAAGCGGCAGCGGCTTCGCTGCCGCAACTTCTTCAGTTGTTGTTATACATCCTATCAATCTAGCCATGTGTCCAGCGTGCAATCGAGCAAGTGACGATAGGCGTTGTGCCGAGTTTCAGCCATAAATTCAATTAGGAATGCGCAATTCTATACATTTCACCGACCAAAAACGTGTTTTTTCTGCTCAGATCTATATAAAGAAAAACAATTGATGCCCTGCTCGTGGCGTTTCTTAACGACGCACATTGGAGCCTTAGCTTTCAGCTTGTGAGCTTTTTTCTTGTGTTGAAATGAAAATGGCAGAATAAAAACTGAGATCATAGTTAAAATCTCAATGCGGGTTTGATATAATATGCCTTTGTTAAAACAATTATATCGATATGCTCACCTTTCTGCTTTTATGCATAGATGAATACTAATGGAGTAGTATATACTATTACTGTTTTGCGAGACAGTTTTTACTTACGTTACTATTGCATAAAAATTTAAATTCTTTAATGTATACTTTACAAAGTGCAGTATGTTTTTTACTACTGGCACTTTTGATCATACTGGTAAGACTCTTTTTATGACCCAAGACGTCAAATTAATATTGCGGTTTTAGATCCTGGTAAAAAATCACTAGCAGCTTGGTATACTATAAACAGCTCTGCAAATCTGCATAAACTCGCAACACAATGAATTTGTCGGGATACTTGAGATTTGCAACCTTTATCTCGTCATTATGAACACTCCTGTCAGCAAGGGCGCGTTAATACATACCAGGCAAAAAAATTGACACACACGCAGGGTTTAGACCAAGTAGATAGTGACTAGAGCCACGAGTGCCACAATACTTGGCACTATTGTCCCCGTCACAGCACTGCTGCTCTGGTTCTTGTTCTTACTGCTGCTGTCCGACAGAGTTTTACCACCGTCTTTGGAAATCGCAGTGTCACTGCTGCTCAAGGTATCGGCACCCCTAGTCGACGAGGAAGACAACGAGTGGGTTGGCAGCTTCAGCTCTGGGAACGAGAATGAAGAGGGAGCAACCTCACAGCCATCGCCTGCCGATTTACACACCGAGCAGATCTGCAAATACAATGTACGGCTGCAGCCGTACTGGGAGGTCGCGCACGCTTTGCTGTTCTCGTAACACTTGGGGTTCACCGCTGTCAGCTTCTTAATCGTCGGAAGTGCTTCCATATTAGAGCTTGTGTCTTTGCTCACCAGCTTATTGTACAGTTCCACCATCTTGGACGCACGTTTCGAGTTGGCGTCTTCATCCCCCGGCTTCTTCCAAAAGTCGATCGACTCCTCCACTTTGAAGCCGCTACCGGTGTTCGTGGCCTTGAACTCCACCCCTCCGTCCTCACAAAACTCCTTGTAACTACTGTAGCCCATCTCAGTGATCCCAACCAGATCGTCAATGTTCAGATAACCCAGGATCTTGTAGCTGAACGTGCACTTGTCACCATCAGGCTTGACGCCCATAGGACACAGTCCACCAGGATACTCAGCACGACACTTGTTCGTCTTCTCCTCACGCAGCTTCTGTGCGCACGAGCTTGGGTACGAGAACCATTGGTTATTAGGGTACGGTGCACGAAGGTCCGATGTCTGTAGGTTGCTGCCCACCATTGGACCAATGTCAGGCTCGCCGTCCAGTCCGTAGTAGACCTTACAATCCACCGGCAAATCGCTGTTCTCGTCTGTACATTTGGCACTGTCCATAGCCACAAACTTGCCATACTCAGGGGGCGTGTGGTTCTCGTAATATTTGATGCCGTACGCTGGTTGAGCGATCATCACCTCGTAAAAGACCACATACTGCATCTTGTTCTTACGTTCACACTTGACCGACTGTTCGTTCACGTTAATCCCTTCCGCCTGTACAAACATCAAAGCTCCTTCGACCGACGCCATGTTGACAGTGTCCAAGTTGTTCATATAAGCAAGCTCGGCCGTGTCACCGAACTTAGACAGCCACATCTTGGCGTCTTTGTTCCATACAGGAGCGTCACCTTGAATACGAGCCTGGACGACCGTCACGGGCGACATGTGCCAGCTGCCGTTGGTGGAGGACGACGGGGCGACCGTAGCGGTGTCGGACTTGGCTAAAGAGTTCGATGGCTTTGTTGTGGTGAGGTGCACGGCATTGGTGACCGAGATCAGAGGTAGGAGATATACTAGACCGAAGCAACACCACATGTTATACGATGTTTCGTACAAGGCAAAAAAACAAATGAATTGCATGCACTTGTCCACCAACGTAGTTAAAAAAAGCTGGTACCATGCGAGATTAGAGACAAGTTAAAACGTTGGAAGAGTCAGTGGCTGATGTCGTTGCGCCGTTGAGGTTATCACTGATTTGCAATCGCTCCTTTGCACTGCGACGTTTGAACACAGTCCAGCGCTTGTTTTCATCGAGTCAGTGTCTTTGTGCTGCGTTTTTAGTTGGAAAATTGGATGGATAGTTACTTACGTTCAAACATCTCCTTGTGTTTTTCTCTATGTTACTAGCATCTACTCGATGCAACGTTGGCCTGTTGTGAAGCATGCGCATGGGCCGGCAAGATAATGTTAGGATGACGCTGTATGACTTTTATCTGTAACTCCCTATATTAGTTGGTACGCTACACTGAATTGTTGAAGCTCCCTGCTTGAACATGATGCAACAAAAGCGTTCGTACATAATAGTAGAAAGCACTGCTACGGGATCCTAACAACGATGACCCGCTTACGCGTTTTTTCTGCTGCAGAACAGACGCAGGGCATGGCGACGACAGACAACAATAGATTGAAAGAGTGCGCTCGATATGGTTTTTTTCTTGCATTGACCTCTACATGACGTAGCCGCACCGAGATTGCCATGAAGTGCACGAGTATGCCAGCAAGATTCTCACGGAAGGGCTTTGTCGTGGGTGAAGTCGGACACTGCTGACACGACATCTAGGTTTCGTTTCTTATCCTTGCCCAAAAACCGTTTTGCAGTTTGTGCAAATTCACTCGTACATGCATGCACATGTAGTGGATGAAGTAAAGTCTCCGTTCCACTCACCAGGACCATAGAGAAAAAAGGATTTTCGTCTTGTCTGATCGTGTGCTATACCGACTTGAAGTCACCGCCGTAGAAGTGGACCAACGTTACGCGCTCGTCGTTGCTGCTAGGTTGTTACTTTTCATTGTGGGATACGTCGCCAGTCGAGCGACATGTTACTCAGCTACGACGAGCATTTTGACACTAAGAGAGTGTGTTGCTTGGACCTACAAAAATGACAGAAGACGCGGAAGATCGAGCCAAAGATCAATTTGAATGCTATGGCTCTGCGTTGTTATGCTAGCTCAGTCTAAACGACAATTTGACGGTCCAGTGACACCAATTTGCAGTACGGCAGTGTATAGAGCATTATTGCAATTGAACACAACGTGAGGTGAGCCCTGCAAGTCGACACTTAACAGTTGCAACAGGTGTGATTGCAGACGACCGCTCGTAGAGACCCTTTGTTTGTTGTCGAGGCATATATATGAGGCGTGCAGCCTCTTTGGCGTCTGTCTAAGCTTTTTGTTGCATACAAAGATTGGTGTTGCTATTCTATGTCGTGTAGAATTTACCACGTACGTATCATCGTCAACTGGGTGAGTATTTGTGAGCATCATATTGGGCAGAACTTGATGAACTTAATGCTAGAGATCATTTGACAAATGAAAGCATAACACATTGAGATCCGTAAAGGACTTCTGCCAGTCAACTGCTAATCCATCGGAGAACCGGTTGGATCACATTGTTATGATTGACACTTTGCACTCTCATGACAGATTTTCTACATCATGTAGGCGGACACACGAAGCGATAGTCAGATTTAGCACGCAAGTATCCTAACAGCAAATTGAATTAAGGAAATATTAGGCTTTTCAAGGATTAGTACAAACTTGGCGACTATATGTCGGACGGCCATCGTTTACTATGACAAGCATCCATAATGATTGGGAGATAAATCACAATCTACGTCAAATTATTGAGGAGTGTGACGTACTGGTGGAAATTGGTCGCTTCTATTTTATTGCCTATATGTTGAGTGTTAAAATTTATTTTTTAATTTTATGTAATAAGAGTATGCAGTATAAAAGCCGGATATTTGGTGTGGATAAATTGAACATTATCCAACTTGTCGATGTCGTCGTCAGACCTGAATTTCCAGGACGATGCATGGCTGCTAGTGGAGCCCAAAAGGACCTTTTGCTCACCTCGTTATCGCCAGGAACGTTTTTTAGTACGTTGTCAAGCTCTGACGTTCTGGAGCCAACCTCAAACTGTGCTACAATTGGGTCAAATTGAGTATTTGGTCCTCAATTGCGATGCAGCCGACGCGTGCAAGCGCAGCGGAGACTTAAAGGAGACGAAGAAGCTACTGCAATTGTCTGTGAGGCCATTGGATGACGTGAGACGCACTCAGTTGTACCACACGTCAGCTCATGCTCAAGTCCTTGAGGTTTTTGTGGATGGGGAAGGGACGAGGGAGCTGCTATTGCGCTGTCTACGAGGAGAAAAAAATGAGAAGAAGCTGTTGGATGACGCCTTTGAATCCTTGGTAAGAGCACAGCAGAGCAGAGATAAGGAGACGGCTATTGGACTTTATAAGGAGGCAGAGAGAGGTTTCGGGGAGGCTGAGAAAGTCGTGGATGCCAGATCGAGAGAGCTGTTGAGAGAAAGGAGAGGAGACTTGCAGAGGACAATTAGAGAGCTGGAGGAGGAGGTACAGGAAGGAATAAGGAATGCTGTTGCTGGTGTTGTGCCGAAGAAAGTGACGTTGATCTCCCAGACGATAGATATCAGTGCGCGATTAGAGGAGTTGCGTCGCTTTGCTGCTAAACAGGATGACGCGAACGCTTTGCAGGGGAATCGTGCGAATCTGACAGGTCGATTGGCAGCACTGAAGAACGAAAAGGCACAATCTGCAATGCCAGTGGATGTCTTGACGGAGAGGCTGCGGCGACTACGAGGATATATTGGGCCAGACGAAGGTGCACCTGTGGTTGGAAGTAGTGGAGTAGAGCGGATGAGCGCGGTGGATCGTGTTATTCAGCAGGTGGTAGACGAAATTGCTTTCGATATTGAGGATGAAGATTTTGATGTGGATGAGACAGTGGAGGAAAGTGACAGTTCGAGTTATGGCAGCAGCCATGTCAGCAAGAGTAGCAAGTTTTGAGCAGGCTGAGTTTCCGCGCAGATTGCGGGATTGCGTGAATACCTGGGCCAAGCGGTTTTAGGATCGTCCAGCTTGCGAAGCTTGCATCTTTATGTCCGGAGATTAATGGCTAAGCGTTCGAGGCTGCAAGTTCAGATACATGAGACAAAGCGTACCGTCGATGACAATCTAGAAACGACGCACGCGACTGAAAAGCATCTACAGGCAGCGCAGTGCCAACTTCCAATGTCCAGGAACAACTCAAAGCAGTTCAACGCACCATAGCACGAGTGACGCAGACCACCATTAACGGAGACCCGTGAATAAAACGAAGCACAAGCAGCATGATGCGACGGAGCTATGCTTGCTTATAAAATAGTACAACGATGATGGACAAGCTAGATGCCAAAATCGAAGGAGAACTGCTCGTGTGGCAACTACGTACGCGGAAGTCGCAAATCAAAGCAGAACCACTGACTGGACAGCGTCTGCTGATCTTGCAGGGCGAATACGTTGAATTCGCAAAGCTTGTTTGATCACTTCGCCCGTACAATTCATGCACTGGTGCTAGGATTCCCGGATGCATCGCGTGAAAGCACAAGGAAATCTATCACATGCGCAAGTTTACTTCATCGCGTCCTCAGACTTGATAATTCTTGCAACCGAGCATACATCATCGTTGCAGCATCTTGAGGCTGAATTCTACGGTCGATCACCTATTCACAAATGATTGATGTTATATTTTCCAGGCGGCTTAGCAGTAGTAACCTGATTCGCGGCGGATTTCGTGATATGCGCGAGTGCAATGCATCAAGAAGCATGTTGTTCAAAGGCGTCACGCGTGCCATGAAAGCATCGCGATTCACAGCTGACAACGCGACATATCGATTATCAGCATCGTCATCCAGCGCAGGTTTTTGCCTCTACGCCGAGCCTTAACATAAGACCCAGGATCTTGGACACTGCATCTACCCTTGCAAGTCTCGTGTGAAGCCAACCCCATCTTTCACCCGTTGTATCCCAAGATACTTAAAGCAAGCCAATCCAGAACCAACACAAACGAACGAGCTAGAAAAAGGTCATTCATACCTATATAACATCGCTGCTTTCAAACACACGGTTTTCTCTATACATCTTCACCTGCTCCCGACGTGAGATTCTACTCCGCCAGCCTCGCAGTCTCCTCAAGTGTGTTGGCACGCTTGGACATTAGATACTCTGTGGATGGAGGGGTAGACGGCGGAGGTGGAACCTCCTCCGTTTCATCAACAGCAGCAGCAACAGACTCTGGGGTCGCATCAGTTATCAACTCTGGGTTGCCGTTAGCAGATCTAGCAGCACCTTCAATAGCATTAGATACATCTTCGTCTTCAACGGGACCCTGACCAAACTCATTTGTGCGCTTAGCATCCACCGGGTACTTCCAACGCTGGTACAGGTAGATAAAAAAGATAAGATCATCACGAAAGCAGCTCAGACGGTGCATCCACGGCATCTTGATCACGAAAGCAAACAAATCATCGATAAACGTGTTCAGTGACTTATACACCATGGCACGCCACGGCAAGTGCGCCACCGATTTTAGCTTGTAGTTGATGTACAACTGCGGGGTCATCATGATAAACCCAAACGCGTACACGAAACTCGTTAGGCTCGAAACGACCCACGAGTACCAGCTCTTGTGCACACCATACATGAGCGTGTAAACAGCTTGACCAATAATCAGTGGGTACAGAACATACGACAAGTGAGCCACTGCCACGCGGTCGTGTTCAGCAGTTGGTGAGTCTTCGTAACTCTCCACGCCCGACACAACAAGTCTGTTATTGGCGTCACGCGAAACAACAAGGGCCTTTTTAATCTTCCACACTTCAATGACAAGACCAATACCTGACTGAACAAGGATCAGCCACGACGTGTCATTGTCCATCAGGTACAAGAAGATTACGAGCTGGAAGAACGTATTGAGTGCGATGGAACGCAGCGATAAGCCCACAAGCGACTTCTGATTCTTCCAAAAACTGATGTCGTTTTTGAATGCCAGAAAATCAAAGAGCGAGTGCAGCAGTGACACCATCACCGTCACTGCCAGCAGATAAGGGTTTGTCTCAAGAAAGATGCTCTTCATATTGTCCGTTTCTCGTTTCGAGGACGCGCCTGTAGCCTCCTGGTTGCGAAAGTTTTGCTCCATTTGCGTGTACAGTGCGTACTTGTACATAGGCAATGGGTAGAATGAAATGTCTAGCGGTAACGTCGTCAGTGTGTCGTTTATAGGGATAAGATGCTCCTCCAGGAGCCAGAAATCATTCAGGAATAGCACCGGCGAATACAATCCTGCTTCTTTATCCATGTCCATCTCCGTTGACACAAGCAGCGGTGGTGGTTGATGTGTCGAGTACGTTGTGTGATCTAACACCACATTCACATAAAATGAAGGTTTCCACATTGTAATGTACGCGTCAGTATCCGACTGCTGCTGCTCTGGCTCTTTCTCCTCTTTCATCTCCAGCAAATTGCGTTTCTTGACAGTCTTGGGCGGTGGACGGAAGGCCGTGAGCTCAATGGAGCGGTGGACGGAACTCATGGCGTCGTACGTACTGTCTATTGGGTTGGGCGAGTAGCCGTCCTTGGTCACAAACACGTGTGCGTATAAGGAGCCGTTCGTCAGCAAATGGTCATCAACTGTGATGTTTATATGACAAGCCCACACGCCGTCTTCACGCTTCGGGTTGGGTGTAGCATCGTATGTAAGTGCGTCTTGAAACCATCGCAGCGTCTCTTGCTCCCTCTCCACGGCGTCGTCTGCGAATGAAAAGTGTTGGTCAGGAGTGACATACACTCTCAAGTTTATTGCGTCACTCAAGTGAAACGAGTTTGTTAAAAGTTGAAGTTGAGAGGGACCACTATTCGGGTTGTCCGCATTTTGGACATCGACGTCTTGGACGTCGGAATGCACGTGCTGTGGCAGTTTCGGCACGAACATGCTCATGACGGACGTAATAGCATAGTATATGCATACCATGCGCAGTACGGGCCACAAACGATCCATAAGACTCTCCTGTGCGGGTGCCGCGGCGCCGCCGGCCGCAGTTACATCTTCGGTCATAATGAATACGTGTGCCAAACGTTGAAAAGGGGCGAGGGCTACGATTGGCTGGATGGACTGCTTTCAAATATCAAGATAAAATGATATTATCTTTGACGGGGATACACGCATTATGATGACGTAAACTCGAATAATGGCGAAGCGCAACTTAAAGTACGTCAGATCCTCCAAAAGGCACGAATTGACATGAACATGAATGGTTTCTCTTTGTCTTATGACGCGACCAAGAGGACTAAAAGGTAAAGCTAGTCACATGCTAAGCATTAACGCCACTACGGGAGAATAACGCGACGTGGGTCCCTAAGTGCCTGCTGGACAGCAACGCAAAGCTGACAAATCTAAGTTGACGCGTGCCTGCTTGCTCACACTTTTTGTTTATACAGGTCCTCCAGACGCGCCACTCCATCTCCCGTTTAACAGCTAACGGATTCGTGAAATATCTGTCATCGCCACCATTACCGTTACTGTTGTTGCTACTATGTTGTGGGATTAAATCCACACACCTTCGTCTTCCTCTCTTCTTCTTCTTCTTCTTCCGAGTTTGAGTTCGAGTTTGAGTCTGAATTCGAGTCCGAGTCCGAGTCGTCCTGCGGGTGCAGGCGGTCCACCATGGACATGCGTTCATCCGCTTGACTCGTTAGTTTCTTAAATAAACTAATCTGCTCCTCGCTCAAGCCGTCATCAGTAACCTCATCATCGTCGTCGTCACCAGACATGCTAATAGACATACGTGCACGCTCAATGACACTATGAGCCTCATCTAGCTGCCGTGCTAGCGCAAAGTTCTTCTCCTCCACCTCCCGAAGCACATCCTCCTCATCATTCATTTGCATTTGGTCTTCAGCCTCCTCATCCGAGTTCACATCAGCGTAGTCATTGCCAGCATCTGCACTTGTAGTTGGTGAACCAGGACTATCCACCGCAACGACAGCTGCCGTTGCCGCGACTGTTGCCGCTTTCGTGGCTGTTGCCGCTATTCGTGGCTGTTGCCTCTACTACCGCTGCAGTTGCCTCTTCGTGAGGAGTGTCCCCTGCAATTGCCTCTTCGTGAAGAATATCCGCTGCAGTTACCTCTTCGGGTGCAGCTTCTTCTTCTGGTGCAGCTTCCTCTTCGGGTGCAGCTGCCTCTTCGTCATGAATGTCCACTGCGGCAACAGGAGACAACGTGGGCTCCAGCGAAATAGGTGGTGAATCTGAGACCGGAATTTGGGAAGGTAAGCTCAAATCTTCGCTCACTGAGCGACTCAGTTCCAGTGACGAATCGACCTGCATTGGTGATGCTAACTTCGACTTCGTGGGACTGTCGTGTCTATTCCTTAACTCGGCATCATTAGTCACGAGCAAGTTGCCCATCGACGAAAACGGCGTCATAGGACTGTCGCCAGATGTCTCAGCCATAGTCCGTGCGCGTTGGGCACTCAACTTCTTAGCCAATCCAAGATTGCCCTCCGCACGAGCACGTTCTTCTTCTTCAAATAGCGCCTGAGCAAGTTCCTCCAAACCACGACGCTCTCGCCGTGAGCGGTCCGCGTTACTCTTGTGCAACTGTCGCTCGGGTACGAAAGTGCCTGAGCGACGAAGCTCCTTGATTTCCATAAGCTTGTGCTCTGCTTCAACACGCGCTTTTTGCTCCTCAGCCTCACGGTCTTCAATAGCGACGCGGCTCGACCGCAATGGCGCATCAAGCAAGGACGGCGATACCTCGTCTTCTACATCCACTGGTATGGACGGTACGGTAACCACAGGAAGTTCCTCTACTATAGCTGGCAGTTCTGGTTCAGCCACTGGCACCACGGAGGCTTCTGCTGTAGATGGGTCAGCTGGAGAAGATCCAGATAGGTTAAGGAACTTGTCCCAGCAATCCTTGCAGTAATACTCACCATCACCGTCCATATCTAGCTTAGACTCATTCTCAGTGGTACCACACTCAGCACAAAATTTCGCAGTTGGAACAACCACTGGGATGCTCATTACATTGTGCAGGTCATCCATGATTTTCTGCACGTGTTCGTCCTCTTCAATTACAGGTGGAACGATATCAACATCAGTGTACGAGTCGCGTTTGAAACCCGAAATCACACCTGCCAACTCGCTAATCACGTTGTTCTGACGTTTCACTACCTCTTGTGGCTTGTGTTGCACTGCCATCGCGAGTACACGCTCACGCGACTGCGCTTCCAGAATTTCTTCATATTTCTTTGCCTGGCTCTTCACCTTCTCTAGTGCCTCCTGAAGTACCTTGGCTTCCTGTTCTGCACGCGATAACGCCTCCTTTGCAGGTGTGCTGCGGTCCGCCTTAGCCTTATTTGCAATACAAAGTTTGGCCTGAACGCGAAGTAGGTGCGCTTCCTTGGAGCCGTCTTCAATGGCAGTGATAGGGATACCAGCAAAAATGGCGTGCTCTAAGTCGGAACCTTGAGACGCTGCCACCAGTTCGCGTGCTACATCTAGCGGAATGCGTTTCTTCCGTCTTTGTCGCTCATGGTCAGGGCGTTCACGATTAGAACGATCACGATTAGAACGTTCACGATCAGAACGTTCGCGGTCATGCCGCGAAGATTTAGTCGGATGCGATAGCCCTCCAGGTTCGGGCGGGGAAGAGCTGCCGTGGTAAAGAGGTACGTGTTGGCGACTCGTTACCTTTGTTACTTCACGCTGGGTGCTCGGATTCGAGCGAACCGATGACACAGATACCGCAGACATCATCGAATCCGGGCGACTCTTTCCAGGACGGAAGCGCAGCACCGCTGGCTTTGGTGAGTGCTTCAACATACGCAGCGTATCTTGATAAGCCTCACCTTCCACGTGTGTTCCATTCACTGAAACCAACTCATCGCCCACTTGAGCATTCTGCAGACCACTAGCATTGCCCTTTCCTGTAAGTTTACTGAGGACTGGAACGTCCCGATATCCAGGCTTTAGCTTCAGACCAAGGTCTCCCTCACGCCACACAATATCATACGACCCCGTATCGCTCGGAATGCCACTTACACTGCGACTTCCTAAAGACGCCTCCTTTGACAATCTCTTGCGTGAGATGCGCCGCCCCATGCGCTTAAACTTAAGCACCGCTGGTTTTCTGATTGTCTTTAACAGTGAAATCGTGCTTCGGAAGCCCAAAGCCTTAGTTTCCTGACCATTCACTGCAACAAGAATATCCCCCACTGTAGCTCGCTCCATTCCCGTGCCAGCACCTTTACCTGTAATCTTACGTATGCAAGGTACATGACAGTCATCGTCGTCGGGACGAAGAATCATCCCCAGAGGACCTTCCGTCCACACCACCGTATACTGCTCACGTCTACGTGCTGTCGAGCTTGTACTTGGCGATGAATTTCCAGAATCTGACCATGAAGTCCCCGTAGAGCCGCGGCTACGACGCGCAGCACTGCGCGACGAGTCACGATACGCATTAAGGCCGCCTGTCATTGCGCGTGGTACACGGAATCTTAGCGTAGCTGGCCGTGGAATCTTCTGTAATGTCTCTACAACGTGGTCGTAGCCCTTACGGGCCGTATCCATGCCGTTAATGCTCACAAGCATGTGACCGACCGACACTTTTGCCATCGCTGCAGCTGAATCCTGACGTGTGATGCGACCCACTACAGGCGGCATATCTTCTCCTAGATCAGGACGTAGTGTCAGACCTAATGGGCCGTCTCCCCACATTACCTCGTACTCCATAGCCTCTCAAGGCACTGCCTGTTGTTATTGGGCTTGTCTCTTGTCCTACAGGCCACCAAAACGCGCCGAAACTGCGTGAGCCTTGTAATATCCTGAGCGTGGATCGATTCTACAGCAATGGATACGTACGTGCGCTGTTATCGGCTGGTCCTTGAACCGCAAAAGTGTCTTGTCGTTCTTCTCCAAGGCGTTCGCCTTCGGCTTTTGCTGCACAAATAAGTCCCCCGCTTTTGAGCGGAGAAGCCGGAAAAACCTCGGAAGGTTGGGGTTTTACCGTCACAAAAACTGGTGCAATTGGCTGATAATCATTTTCTTACTAGTTTAGACCAATCATACAGACGTTTTGAGTGACGCACCACGGCGGACCACCGCAAGTGATAAGCTGTTGCAAAACCCATTTTACTGCTGGCTACCTACTTGGCTTTCTGGCAATGTAATGTTGCTATAGAGCATCTACAGCGTGTGTAAGGCAAAAGCTGTAGATGTAGTACCAAAAGAACAAGAGGCTTGAGGTGGAAATGTACGGTAAATAAGGCCTTTGCTGGTCGTTGAGACAGAGATCATTGCCATGCAGGCTAGCTAGCTAGTGGTACCGCATTGACGGCGACCTTTTTTTTGCTGAAGTTACTTGACGTTGTACACGTCCATTGGTCGCTAACGAACGATGTTCAGCCAAAGACGCGTGTGTGTTATCACCAGGCTATCCACGGCTTGCCGTATGCTCGTGAAGTCTCGGTGGGAGGATCATTAGGCTTTAATGACTGAAGAATGTGCTCACAATCTTCTTAGATTGCTAGCCGATGTTTTGATTCGGAACCAAAACATCGGCTAGAAATCTAATAATAGTTACCCCGCTCGCTCACTGTAAATGGATTACTTCCATCACATTATATACAGCACGCTATTTATAGTGCATGTACCTTCACATAGTGAGTGATACATTGTTTTGATGCCTCTACGGTTGCAACACTTTTTCACAAAAAAACAGTGCCTAATTCAATATGTACCTATGTTGTGATTCAGGTTTAGTGCTCCACATGATTTTAGTCGACACAAATTTGTTACTTTCTCAAATTTGATAATTATTATTTTCGACGGATAGTCGCTACGTGGCGCCAATCAAAACGACCTAATGAATATCTATGTGCTGCTCCTGTGCACATGCGTGGCCCTATTAAGCCGCTATGCAGCCGCCGAAAGGATGGAGGATGCGTCATTTAAACCTCCCTTCGATATCGTAGACCTCGATGGCCGCCGCTTGGTCAACACCAGCTGGTTGCACGGTGGTCACGCGGACGTGAAGAAGCATTTCATCCGCCTAACGACTGACCGTCAGAGCAAACGCGGTTATCTGTGGCAGAGGAACCCCGTGAACCGTGACGAACTATCGGCTGTTCTGACGTTTCGTATTTCGGGCCAGGGCAAACGCTGGTTTGGCGACGGCATCGGTTTGTGGTTTACGGATCAAAAGACGTTCACGCCCGGCATTAACCACGGCTTTACAGAAAAGTACAAGGGTGTAGGTGTGGTCATTGACACTTTCAACAACGGGGAGCACAAGGGTGGTCACAGGGACATTAGTGTCTTTACGAACGATGGCACAAAGAGCTACGATCAGATGTATGACGAGAAACGCGTGGGCTGCAATGCCGCTGTGCGCTATCACGAGCAGAACGCCAACTTTGACCCAGTGCACAGCATCTCGCGTATCAAAGTGAGGATTGACAAAACCCGACTTGTGGTGGAGGTGGACGAGCATGCCTCGGGTCAGTGGATTGATTGCCATGAGATGACATTACCGTTTAATGCGGACTGGCTGCGAACGTCTACGATCGGCATCTCGGCCTCAACGGGTGCGGTAGCAGACAACCATGACATCATTCGTTTTGACACGTACTCGGAGTTTATGGACGCAACGATCGGCGCGGTGGACTCAGAGACGGTGATGAACTCGGTGTCCAAGGGCTACAAGAAATGGTTGGACTCGCCCAGTTGTGGCACGGACTGTGTCATTGCTATTATCAAGAAGGAGCTATCGAACTTTCGCATTGACGCAGAGCACCGCTTTACTGAGTTGAAAGAGAAGACAGAAAACACTGTCGAGAAGCTAAAGAAACAAGAAAGTGAGAATGAGCGCCGTGTGCGTGAGATTGAGGCCAAGGTGCGTAATGGCATTGACTCGTCGTTGGAGGAGACGAAGAAGGTGCTGGGAGAGGAGGTAAATGAGAAGATTACAAAGCAACTGGAGAAGAACCCGGACATTGCCAGCGGTGGCTGGAAGACCCCATTCGCGCTACTGTTTATCGGTATGGTTGCAGGCGCTGCGTATGTGTACCGCAAGTACCAGGCCCTCATGAAGTCACACTTGTTGTAGATCCGTCACTTTGGTCGATAAAGTGTCAGTTACATGGCATCTACCGCTTATAAGTGTCCTAGCCAACATTAAACTGCCACATTTCATCAGTCACGTTTTCAGTCCGTGTTTTATATCGCTATGTGGTCCACAGATTGACATCCTCTGATAGACGGTACTATCTTCAAAAGGGGTTCTACCTACGTGTCAGTCACTCCAACACTTCGCTCCTCGTATTTCTATCGCCGCGTCGCTCAACGACTCTCAAATTTTCTAACGTCGCCTTCCTTTGTGCTTGAATCCTTCCTCTACGATGCTTTGTCAATTTCTTACACTGTTGTCTACCACGGCGCTGAGCTTTGTAGCCATTGTGTCGGCCTCTTCACTACCAGCATTGACCTTCACGCAGCCATTTGAAGTAGTGGACTCGCAAGGTAAACGACAGATCTCGAACGATGTCATCTACGGTGGCACGACGGAGGTCAAGAAGAACTTTATCCGCCTCACGCCCGATCGTCAGAGCAAACGTGGCCACATTTGGACCAAGAACGTCATTGATCGAGACGAGTTTGCGACTGTCATTACATACCGCATTCACGGTCAGGGAAAGAAGTGGTTTGGTGATGGTATTGGTCTCTGGTTCACACAGGAACTTGCATGGAAGAATGGCGAAAACCACGGCTTTATAGACAAGTACAATGGCTTTGGCATTATTCTGGATACATTCCACAATGTAGAGCACCGTGGCGGCCACAAAGACGTGACGATACAGGTAAATAACGGTCAGAAGGAGCTGGACGATCTCAATGACGCGGAAAAGATTGGCTGCGATGCCGCTTTTCGCTACAATTCGGATAGCGCCACCTTTGATCCTGTCTACAGCTCGGCGCGTATCCGTGTGAAGATCAAGGGTAATTCACTTGAAGTGGATGTGGATCCAAACAACTCAGGAGCCTGGACGGAGTGCTACAAAGGCGCTCTACCATTTCAGAATGACTGGCTCCGTCGTGCTACTTTCGGAATCACGGGGTCAACTGGTGCTCTGGCTGACAATCACGATATTCTGCGTGTGCAGTCATTCGACCAAATCAATGATCTTGGTCTGGGTACGGTGGATGCCGAGACGTGGACGCACAACTACTCGAAGGAATTTGAATCGCTCATGGAGAGCAAGACGTGCGATCAATCGTGCAAAGTAACGATTTTGGAAAAGTTCTTGACCAATTTCCAAATGGAGACCGAGCACTGGTTTGAGATGCTGCGTGAGCAGACGGAGAACACCATTAACAACCTGAAGGAGAAGGAGCGCGAGAATCATCGCAAGATTGAGGTGCTGACGGATCGCATGACGACCATGATGGAGCAAAAGATCGGCCAGAAAATGGCGGACGTGCGCTCCAAAGTGAACGAGAAGATCGCGACCGAGGTTGAGGGTGAACTTACGGTAGCGCACTCCAGCTGGCGCTTGCCTTTCTTTATTATGATCATGCTCATCAGTGCCGGTGTGGGCATAGCCTACCAGAAGTACCGCAAGTTGGTCAAGAGCCACTTGTATTAAGGTTTGTAGCTGTCGAAAATGTGGATCAGTAGGCGAGGCAATGAGATACAGAGGCTGACGCCTTGAGGACGACCAAACGCGTGTCGATAGATTTTTCTATAGACGAGACTGATGGCAGTGACATAGATGCATCGCCATTCCTTTGTTTACTTCAGCATGATGAAATTAATGATGTGTCACAGCTTCGTCCGTTCTTCGTCAGTCTGAAATTTTCCATAGGTACAATTAATACATTATGGGAACGAATGCGCGTGTAGGTGGCTCATTGCTGGTACTAGTATCAATTGCGGTGGTAGGATTTACCTTTAGGGAGAAGCTACAGGAGACACTACATCTCACATACGAGCATCGGTCACTGAGTGTCGACCGCGATGCGGCGTTTAAGAACGTCATGATTTACCGCAACGGATACTCGACCGGTGGCGTGCAACTACAGCTTAGTGCGGAGCTCGTGGCTGCTCGCACAGGCAAGGGAGAGCTGGCAGCGTATCTGTCACAGTTTGTAGCGGTTGAAGGGCTCCACGAGTCTGTCACCCAAGAGCCTGTCACGAAAGACATTAAGCCTTTGGATGAGAGCAAGGAAAATGAGTACGACGTGCCTGGTGTCGTGGCCAATCGCGTGTTCAACGGCCGTGGAGAGCTACTGCAGACTTATGCGGACATTCTATCGGGAGATCGACTCTATCTCGTTGCTCCTGGACTATTTTTTATGTGGCCCTTTGTAGAGCTTGGTCATCGCGTAAACGTGACGTCAGAAGCTAGTCCGACCAAGGAGCCGGTGATCATTGAGTCCATCTCAGAGTCTCCGCGTACATTCCGTCTGCACAACTTCTTCAGTGACGAGGAGGTGGACAAACTGATCAATAGCACACTGGCGATTGATGAACCAGGCCACAAGCTGCAGCAGTCGAGAGTGGGTGCGCATTTCTCAAAAAAGAAGTCGAAATTTCGCACGAGCGAAAACGCCTTTGATAGCGTCTCGGACACAGCAGTGAACATCCGCAAGCGCGCATTCAACATTCTCTCGATTGAAGAGTTCAAAGAAGAAATGTGCGATGGTCTTCAGCTGCTGCGATACCAGCAGAAGCAAGCATACATTGCCCACTACGACTACTTTGAAGTGGACTCCGTGCCCGATTTTAACTTGGACCCGCACAAAGGTGGTTCCAATCGCTTTGCTACCGTCTTCCTGTATCTTTCGGAGGTTGCACAAGGTGGACAGACCGTATTCCCGAAAGTCGAAATGCCTGAGGGTCTCCCAGTTGAGTATGGTCACCCTTCGAACGCGGCCCAAGACTACGAGGCTATCGGTGCAGAGCTATTTGGATCAGAGAGCTGGGAGATGGACATGGTGAAAAAGTGCTCGACAAAGTTGGCGTTCTACCCTTCAAAAGGTGGTGCAGTGCTGTTCTACAGTCAAAAGCCGAATGGTGAATTGGACCCCATGTCACTGCACGGAGGCTGTCCCGTGCTCGAAGGTACCAAGTGGAGTGCAAATCTCTGGGTCTGGAACAAAAGTCGCCTGAATCGTGTCGCCCCCGCAGTCACCGTTACCTTTGAGAACCCAACGTCGCATGAAGTGGATCTTTACTGGTCCGACCAGCTGATGGCTACTCTTGACGCCAACGGTGGCAGCCGCGAATTCAAGACATATGAAGGACACCAGTGGATTTTCAAACACGGCGATCAAATCTTGTTCGAAGTCATTATCGACACCAAGAATGGCAACAAGCAGACAATTCTTACCGCACCAATTGAAGTATCATCTGCAGCGCAACTGGAAGACAAAGACGCAAAGACCAACGTTAACGACAATATCAATGCGAAGGACGCAGTCGAGGCGAAAACCAACGACAACGAAAATGCCAAGGACACAGTTGAGGCGAAGGCCAACGACAACGTCAATGCCAAGGACGCAGACGAGGCGAAGACCAACGACAACGACAATGACAACGACAATACTGATGCCAAGGATGAGCTGTAGAAACCCCAAGACCAATATGGTTCGTATTAGCGTGTGTCCTTATCATCAAAAGCTGGATAAACTTGTCTTTCTAAGTTGTTGCATGCTAAGCAACACGGCGTTTCTTGTTCTTGCTACTTGCGACAAAGACTTTTTCTAGGTCTCTGTCTCCTAGTGACTGGTTCTGTTTGCTACTGGTTGGCGTCTTCTGATGGAACGTACGACGCACCTGTTGCATAGTATCATGTGCACCATCCTTGTCCATCTTCTTGTCGGCCTTGCGTGCCTCCATCTTCTCAAACTGTTTTGACTGATCCACACGTTCCAAGTACGCTTCATTTTCCTTCTTGGCCTGTGCGATTTCCATCCGTAACTTTTGGTCACGAATGCGATTCTCGTACGCAATCTTCTCTGTCAAATGGTCCCATTTGAAACCCTTGAGGTATTTGAGGTTCCATATGTCGTCATGATAGTAATCGCGTTTCCGGCCACCGATTTGCGTCGTATTCAGCATTTTGGCCACACGTTTGGCCACCTTTTTGTCCTCAAACTCAATCCATCCTTCCGTGTACTTTTGACGGCGGTTACCACCTGTACTCACTCGTTTATTGTGAAGTGTCTTGTCCTCTGGCACGAGGTAGATGCGATTTAGATCGCCGTACTTGGTCAGCAGATATCGCAACTTTTCAGGCTTCATAAAGGGTGGCACACGAGAGATGTATACTACACCACGTCGCTCGGCTTTTTCCTTGAATTGTTTCATCTTCTCGCATGACAGACCGGCCAAAACGTTGGTCGTGGGCTCCCTGGCATCAGCTTCAGATGTCATGCTCTTGGTATTGACTGGCGATGATTTTACCGTTTAGTATGCAGTGTATACTTGCATTTATTGATAAAAAATAGAGAAATAGAAAATATACGAATTCATGCCAAAAGAAAAAACTATACACCATAAGAAAAAGTATTGATATTTTACAAAAGCGTATACTATACGTATGGCATCACAAAAATTAAGTGTAACGGGGTTACACGACAGTTGGATAACCAGTAAGAAGCGTGAATGATACAAAATGTAAGCTGATAGTATCGGTAATACCACACCCAATCGGTTATGATTCGATAACTGAGGGCAATAGTTCTAAAGATCGAATTATGGCCTATGGCCAGGCCTCTTTATATACATATTAATTTGTAGATAGGGTAATTAGCTAGTTTACCGCTTATTATATACGGATCACGTATTATTTATCTCTTAAAACTAAAATATAAGCATAAAAGTTGTAACGGGTAACACGACAATTTTAACATCATTCCGAAAGTTTACGGTTAAAGTTTCCCTTTATTGCATATAATGCAATCTTGATACTTCTCTTTAGAGAGGAATCAAGATTGCATTATATGCAATAAAGGGAAACTTTAACCGTAAACTTCTCTTGATACTTCTCTTTAGAGAGGTATTAAGTATGAGCGTTAAAGATACAGTATTCGGTAATACCGTATCTTATCGATTAGGATTCGATAAATCGATAACGCTGTACTAAGTACATCATAAACAAATGTTTAGACGATACGTCGTTGAATAGCAAAGTCTGCATATTATAATTACTGTTATAGTAATTAATCTAGTGTAGAGTACTTAGAGTAGGACTATTCATATAATCTTAAAGCATAAATAAAATCAGTTCTCCTTTTGAGTTTAAGATCGCAAGTCGTTCTGACTTTTTCTCTTGTGCACTTCGTGCGTTGGTTCTCTGAACCTTTAAGCTTCTAGCTTGTTCTTGCACTCTGTGCGTTGGTTCTCTGAACCTTCAGCTTATTGCTTGACTGACTAAAAGTCTCTCCTAGCTCCTTAGAACAGGATGACTTCTTAGTCGTATAATTAGTTCCTTAGAACTAAGTGGCTTTTAGCCTTAACTCTATTTAGTTCTCTAGAACTAAGAGGCTTCCAGCCTAAAGTCTTCCTCTGGCTAAAGAGCTGTGCAGCTCCGCTACAAAAATGTCAAGTGCTTTGTTTGATTGAGGGCACAATGAGACTAACATTTTTCTTTGCTTGCAATGAAATACTTTCTCTAGCCAAAGGTCGGTGTTACTGTAGCGAAAACTGTCTATTATAACTTTCAAAATCGAATAAACAAGTTTAACTTGACTTGTACCGGGAAACACAGTAGCAACTCCACCACAGAGTCTTTGAAGATACTTAAACCTGTCTAAAAACACCTTATGATTCATTAAAAGTAGGTTCTCATTAAAGAAGTCTAATCTTTTTTTGATAGCAGGTTCACATCTTACAGCATTTAACAGCTCACCGTTCTCATGCTTAGTTATAATGATCTTTTCGAGTGTCCAACGCGCTAGAAGGCGCTCCTTCTGACTCCTCACAATCGCACTAAATTCAGAGGTGCGAATCAAAATCAGGTCTCGGGGTACAACGGGTGGGAGTATAAAGTCCTTTGAAATCGTGCCTCGACCATTGGAATCGCGCTCAGCCACAATCTCATTTATACTGTTAATGGCATTGATAAACAAAGTCGCGATGCTTTTTAAAACATCTTATACTTCTACGTCATCCATGGACGCAAGAATCTCCGACACGAATGAACCCTGATCAGGAATGAAACTTTTCACTTCGACGAGACTAGCAACAAAGTTTTTGGAGGTCGACACATGTCATTGATTAGAATTCAGTGTGTCCGCCGCACCACCATCCGCCAGGAATGGACCTTTGGCGCCGGCGCATATGATGTAGAACAACATCAAACTCTTTAAATATCCTCGCTGCATCGAAACCGTGACAGAGTGCTTTTGGAGCTGCTTAAATGTTACCGTCGCGCGTGCTGCAAAGGCTTCAGCAGTAATAATGTAAATTCACCAACGGTCAGTCGGGGTGCATGATGGGTTCTTTTCGGCCAAGTAGGCACGAACACGGACACGTGTGGCCTTGAACCAGTCACCAACCTTGCCTATTGACTGCCAACGGAAAGTAGGTAGTTTTGGGCAAGCCGTTTTCATTTCGCTGATTAGGTTTTGCTGTCGACGAAGGTAGGAAATGATGGAGGTCAATACTTTATAAATTCGTTATCACCGAAATGGACGTACACGTCTTGTATTACGATGTATGGCTGGTGCGCGCCACAACAAACTCGAATAACTCCAGGCTTTGCAACCTTTTGAAATCTGGTGACACAACCGCTAAATCGGCCTGTCATTTTTTCGCCATTTGAAGAGGTGCCAATAATGATGTTACGCCATTAAGGCATCATAGCGTCAAGCGCTTCACAAGCAGTCGAGAATATGACCTTGCCAGTGTGTCGTTCGTATACTGGAATCGCCAAAAAGTGGAAATTGAGAATATCATAATAATAATATATTAAAGGAGACGGATGGCCAGATACGAAGTGCGCATGTGTGTCGACATATCCAGTGCAATAGAGAACGTCCAAGACTGCTTTAACAACTCTACAATCTTTTGTAAGTTGATGACAACATCAAACCGAGCATACTTGGCTACAGTTGCGTCACTGGAACACCTAATCGAAGCCAATCTTGTCAAATCTTTCGTAGACAGCAAAATATGAGAACTCTGACGAAACGTGCATCCAGCTGCCAAATATCCAACAGCAAGATTGAATTGCAGGGAATTCTTAATATCACTACGGTAGCGGTCGACACCATCTCCATCTTTAAGGTCTTTAGACCCGTCAGCAATGATAACAAACGGCTGCATCATCTTTGTTTGATTCTCACCCTCAACTTTGTCTGGATCCCAAAACACTCTCCAATATTTTGTCGACAATTGGCGCGTTAGTTGTATGCTGCCTCGGCACCTGCTGAGATCGAAAATGCGAATGCAAGGTGTGCTTAATTGGATGGACATTCTCAGAAAGCCCTTCTTGACTTCATTAGAGAGGCCTAGGTGCTCCTGCAACCTTCCGGGGTGTTGTAGTTTTAGGTGCTGCGTATAGTTGCTTGCTCGGAATTGGGCCGAGTAATTATTGGTGTTAGTAGTTCTCGCACGTTTTGCGCCTGGCGTGCTCTTGCGACCGAAATAAATACGTAAAAGACATTACTGAGACAACCGCGCGGTATTTGGTGCTCCTCTGATCGATTCGAACACCATATTTTAGAGCATGGCCATGTGAAAGGGAGTCTCTCGCTTGTTCTATATGTGTAAAAGCTTTTCCTACGGGTTGTTGCGAGTTCTAGGGCTCTATATTTGGCTAAGTTGTTAGTCGCGAAAGATGGGGGTCTTTCTATATTGCGGGAGTCAATTTTGGGTCCCCGTTTCTTTTTCCAGTAGCTTTTTTCTCACAAATTCCTAACGAACTCGCTCACTTGCCCATTTAATATCCCAATCCGAATAATGCTATGTATCTAGACATTCTAAACCAGGTTGTTTACGGCTCGCCAGAAATATTTTTTACGGCGTCAAATACGTAAATAACCGTTATGTCCGTATATAAAGAGGCCTGCCTATGGCCCTGAGTTGCTTAATGCACGCCTTGTCTAATAGAAAGAGGTGAAGAGAGCTTAGCCCGGACGGCTTCGTGGAAGCTTCCACGGAGCGTGGGTACAAGTCCAGCTTGTTGGTTGTGTCGGCAGCCGTTGAGGGCTTTGAGAAGCCATGGTCAACTTTAATTGACCCAAGAGTGTGGAATAATTATGTCCGACGCCGTTCGCTTAAAGGGAGTCAGCGATATGCTGAGGCGCTACAAGCGCATGAAGGTATTTTTACGGTCCTTCTCGTGACTGTTCACCGTTCCTAGAGTTTAGTTGAGCTTAGGAGTGAAGTTTTGGACTTCGGAAGCATTCAACGATGTCTTGTACTAGATTTTGAACTCAAGATATGATCTCATTTTCAGTATGGCTTGGCTAGAACGCCATGATACATGGATTGATTAGAGATCCAAAACCTTAGCGGCTACGCACAATGTGTTTAGTGAAGCTTCAGAAAGACATGATTCCACCTTCGCTAGGAACAAAAGTGCTATTGGCGCGAACCACTGACTGAGTTGGTTAATGTGCTGGATATTGGTGTTTGTCTAAGTTACTAGACACCCATATCATGCTGAGCAATGCAAATTGACACGTTGTGAACCGGCACGTACTCCGTTGAGTAATCTCGTAGCGATAAGAGTCACTGAATGCTTAAAGCATTTCATGCCTAGAGCCGAGTCATGAATAAATAGCACGATTGATGCGAGTGAAGTGGCACATATAAATTCACCGAGTGGTGTTGGCTGTTATAGCGACTCACTAGATGTCGGTTATGACATCGGCTCTCGTATATAGCAAGATAAGGTCAAGGAGTCTATTGACCTTGAGGATGGTTATATTTCAAAAATGTTAGCTATCACGGTCTCTTCAGTAATACGGCAGCGTTGCCAAATGGCTGCTGCGAGAAGTAAGACGTCTGTTTAATCGCGTGGTGATTTCACCAAACAATATATACCATTGTCAATGGAGTGAAATGTGATGTAGATGGCGCGGTTGTCCTTGAGGCTCTTCCATCATTTAACGCTATGTTATAACTAGACGAATTGTCGTGGATGAGTTTTATCAAGCTTTGACGGCTGGTGATTTATCCGATATGGTGAGTCTTCGACCTGACCTTGAACTTAACCCATCATTTCTTATAGATGAGGCAGTCCATAAAGATACAAAAGCTGCAATTAGTGCACGTAGTGGATCCTCTCTCTTATTTTTCCTTCATATACCTACTATCTTTTGGTTAAGAAATTTTAAGACGTAGTGTGACATTATTTACCGCCATTTCTACCTCCTGATAGCGATGCACGTCATGAAATTATTTTATTTTCCGGAATCTAAATACTGACGAGATTTATCATAAAAAGCGCACTCTTCCGATGACATGCGTGGCAAAAATCTGACTACCCAGTCTTCAGCATTTTATATTTTGGGAGTAACATTAGCACATTCAGATGAGCTAGACCCGAAGGCTTGATTGGAAATCAATCAAATCGTCAGGTGAACTATCGAAGAACTTACTTCGATATGTGTCCGTTAGCCCAGCAAACATAGTTTCGCTCGGCTGGCCGTCGGTAACACGTCAATTAACTTCGGCGATCCTGAATCTATCGTGTCAGGATCAACACCAATCTTAAGGTATCCATACAAGGCTTTGTTGATCAGACGTTGAAAGATTTTCGGAGCATTGTTCAGCTCAAAAGGCACTCGAAGATACTCAAACAGACCTGAAGGTGCAAAAAACGCAGAATTTATTCAGGCTCGATTACGTCATTTCCACAACATAATATTTGCTCACCACATCCAGAAGCAAGACCACATCACCTTATTTAAGTCGTGCAACAGATCGCTTATCAATGGAGCGAAACAACATCGCCTCATATAAGTCTTCGATTATCAACGGAATAAAACCTATCAACCGTATACGGTATTTGACGCGTCAGTAGTCAATCCGCAAACGTATGCTCGATGTATACGGGCGCTTTTACAAGTGCCACGTACTACAAGCACGCACACCTTCAGAATAATGAGGAAGCGATTAAATCATCTTACCACGCGTGATGTGGTGGGGTTGCCGGTTGCCGCGACAGCTCGTGCAACAGTTGTCGGTCGCCGAAGTGTTTCGAACAGGAACTCAGAGAAACGCTTGACTACGTCGCATAAGCTGTAAATTGTCTTTTAGGGGCGTAGTGCGTATTTCGTTACAATTTTTAAACTGATTTATATTTAATAAAAGTAACTAAATGTAGATCTAGTTAATGATTAGTCGATTTATGTATTGGTGGGTACGCGTCTTTTTTTTTGCACATCCTTACGTGGCGAGCTTAAATATATTTGAAGCTTAAAGTGGTGATAAGCACAGTGTTTTAATGGGACATATGTCCCCTCGAAATTGAGACGCCCAGCCTTTAAGAACTTCTATGCTCCTGACAGTGAGGGTCATGCCTCGTCGTCTGATCCAACGAGAATAGCGACTGTTACCGAGCAACGCTTCTCATAATGGTGCCGAGTCAGCTCAATCGATGTCACAAGCAACTGTCGCGAGGGAGGCTACGTGGCTGGTAGTATATTTCAAATGCCACCACCATCCAACTAGTTAAGGTCGGATGGAAGTAGCAGATCGTGTCATTATTAACGCCAAATCGATATTAAACGTGTTTTCATCATAAAAGCAACAGTACAACGCTTGACCACATTTCCCCTATCCGGTCGTGTTGGATTTAAATGAATCAACCGACGAATCCGAAGCTGAGTTCCTGCGCCGTAATAAGCCAAATTTAATGCGGCTAAACAACGGTCGCAGCAAATTAAGTTCGCTATGAAGCTTGCAGAGGATGAGGTAGAAAGCTAATCCTATCTCTTCTCGCCACGTCGCCCCTACTAGTCCTTCTGGGCCTAGCAAAGGAGCTGCAGCTGATTCTTGTGATTATAAGCGGCACCAGCCCCCGAACCTCGACACGTAGAGCATCGAATGGTTTCTAAGAGTCAAACTCTTCGTATATCCTATCTAATGGACGAGGATCTAAATCTTCTACTTTATAGCGGTGGTATAACTAACATCCAACAAGGAAGCGTTTGTTCCCACACGCATCCACCAATGCAGGAGGCGCCCGATAGAAGCGGCGATTACGCCAAACTACTAGCGGCTGCCGATCATGCTGCCCTCCGACGCACGCGCAGAATGATGCGTTGAGAAGGCAGGTTGTAGATCTCGAGAGCAAAGTTGCTTGACTTACTGTGAGTTTCCAAGATGCGAAGTCGAAGGACCGTCAGGAGTATGACCGCCTGAAACTTCGTTTGGACATTTTAGAGCTACTGTCGATGAGAGACCCGCATCAAACGCGGAGTCCTTCTCGAATACCGAGTCCTCCATGCCTCGACCGTATACAGGAAGCCTTTCGGCTTCACCGTTGCCATCGGTATTGTTAGCCTTATGTGGATATGTGATCTCTTCTGGATGAACATACCGATTCAGACGACCCACGTAAAATACGGGGGGTGTTTTCATATACGGTGGGAGATTTAGTCTATCATTTAGGTCTCCACCACCGTAAATGGCTCAATGAATTGGAGCAATAGGCTAGTAGTACCTTTTGTTAGTACAGAAATTGCATTTTAGGAAGGGTAGAAGTACTTAATAGCACTTTGCCCCAATAATACAGTGCTCATTGTTTTTGCGACCATGTTGGTCTGCATATTGTTTTTGCTTGCTCTGTGCGCTTGCCATCGTGTCACAGACTTTACGTGTGATGGCTTATCGCTCATCACCGAAGCGCTGAGCTTCGCTCACGCTTTTAGCATCCAGCTCGCCTATGGCACCCCTAAGAGGTCGGTCAAGGGTCGACGCTGTTGATAATACTATAGTGTTATCATCAAGCAACACAGGCATTTCTTGCCGTGTCTCCTCGTTGACACCTATAAGTGTCGTGATCACTGCTAAATTAGCAGTGGCACTAGGGCAAATTTGACCCTCTTGGGCATTCGCACCAAGCGAAGTGAGGGGCCCTCCCCCACTAAAACTCGGGCTGCACACAAACGATACTGGCGTCCGAGGATGGCGCAGTCCGTTTATATAAAACGGTGTTTAACCCTTATGGCGTGAACAATGTTACTAATAACGAAATTTTCGAAGGGCAATTTCTTGCTCCATTCCTTAGGAGTCTCTATTGTGCGCAATGCATCCGCCACGACTCGTTTGGCTCGTCGTTCTGTTTGGCCATCGGTCTCGGGATGATCGGCTGT